TAATAATACTGGTTGTAAAATTGGCAAACTGTATTTGTTTGAATTGTTTTAGTAGTTCTTGTAGAATAATTAACGAGCATTGTGAAACCATACGATTCGAATATATTGACTAAGGATTAGTATCAAATCTTTATACTGCTCACGACCGGTAGACAGGTACCATTTATAGTTATTTTAAGATTTACAATACTGACTGTCGCGAGGAGAACTTAAGAATTTTTGCGTTTGGAATAAAAATATTAAAACCACTCACTGAAAAATATTCAAGCCATTGATCGGTATCTTTCTGTATCAGTTTGCACATAGCAAGTCTATACCTCGGCAGAAAATTAGTAACTAATCTAACTAAACAGTAGAAACTTAACTAAAAAATCAAGTGTAAGGCTCAACCTGCAGTTATTTTTAAGTTTTATGTTCCCCACATTATTTATTTTGTTTAACAGCAACTGCATATCATGTTCCTTATCTTTGATTATTTCGTTATAGTCGGCATAACCAATGTTATTTAACAGGTATATTGACATTTATACCACAGTCAGAACCTTCAAGTGCCTCAGCAAAAACCTTCTCCACAGGGGTGAAAATACATACCTGTCGTACCCCTCTTAAAATTTAAATAAATATATACTAGATAAGTGATGGACTTGACCATTACTAGATGGATTTATTTACTATAACAATAAAACTTTGATTTCAAAACATCCACAAAATTTATTATAACATTTTATCACTACAGCTGTTTTGGCAGAGTGCTTTTCTCAAGTAATCTATTTTTGGTATGTGTTTACACTTTATAGTCTTTAACTGAATAGGTTGTGGAGGGAAGAATTGTTTGTCTCACGTTGATCATTCAGAATGTCTGTATTTTTTCATTTGTTAATTTCAATAGATTCTAATAAAGATAGCTTAAGGCCTTTATTTGCAATGCGAAGGATATAAAATTCGTCATTAGTGTGACTATGATCTAGAAAGTGAAGTGAGTATGTATAATTTGTTTTTCGATTATTAAAAGCTGTTTTATGTTCTGTCATACGTTTTGTTAAAGTTCTACGAGTTGGACCGATGTAAATTTTTGGGCAGTCGACTACATTTAAGTATATATAATATAAGTATAAGATATTATAATAAATTTTGTGGCAGTTTTGATTTCACTATTTTATTGTTCAATATGTACTACTAGACTACTATAATTTGTAAACAATTACGAAGAAAACAATTTGCATGTTTGGATAAGTATACAAATTAATTAGTAAATTATTATCAATACAATAATAAAATATGAAATATCAACTGCATGTGTTTTTTTCCTGACATGCAGTGGTAATTAGACTTGGAAGGTAAATTTCTTATCCATTTTTTGTTATACTTTACGTAAGAGGATAGCCTAACCAATAAATATAGTAGGAAAGTGAAAACAATAATAATTTTGTTTGTCATTGTTGATCTCATTTCCGACTTGACTGTTTGGAAGTAAGTATGTTTCTTCTTTAGCTAAAAATAACAAAAACTATTTTAAAACTTCAATTATGTTTTTGGGGTAAGATTTATTTTGAGTTTTAAAATAAAATGTCCCAAAAATGCATTTAACATGATTTAATGTGTTTAAATTATTATAATTTAATAATTTATAATCGAATGAGCTTATAATGACGGCTATTATTACAAAGGTAAATGTCGTCAATTATTCGTTAGAATAATATCCATTATAAGCGAATATAATACTATACTTTGTCCACGACTGTTGGATATTTAACGAAAAAATTTTTATTGAGGCAAATATGTATTATTTTTTTTTACTTACGAGTATAACATAAAACAATTTCAACATAAATGATAACTAATTATTAGAACAATTTTTTAGGTTGTTAATAGCAGGAATAGAATTAACAACTAAATTATTGATTTTTGATTATTATCAGAAATGTTTTGTTTTTTGCATGAGAATTAGGATTATTTACTTGAATAGCGTTTGATATTTTTTTAGCTGTCTCATTATTGTTTCTTGAGAAATTATCTATATAGCTTTCAGCCACTGCTGTCTGCTAAACGACTAGACTTGCAGAATATCTGCGAAAACTATGTCCAGAATATTTTTCTGGACTTGGTATTTTTAAAAAGCAGCAATATATTTCCTTATTTTGGTAAATTTATTAATATATTTTTATGGGAAGTGTGTGTGACCTTTCTAATAGTTTCTAAATGGTAAATCACTTTTAATATGTGTATGTTCTACATATTTCATTAAAAATATCAGTGACAGTAAATTTTCGAGCAATTTTGTTTGTAGGAATGTGGATTTGACATATTTATTAAATAAGCTGATTCAAAGTGTTTTAAATAATTTATTTTTATTCTTTACACCACATTACTCGGACAATTGTTTCGATGTCTAACCAGTGTGTAACAAAATAACAATCATTAAATTGACAACAAAACATTGACTTTGGGCTCCAGTGTGTAATAAATGAATTAGAAAACTACAGACCTATAAGTTTTCTTAGTTACCTATACAAACTCCTTACAAGAGTAGTAACGAATAATTTTAAGAAAAATCTTGATTTCTACCAGCCAATAGCGCAAGCGGGATTTTATACTGGATTTGTAACAAAATGCAATCGCCACTCGTTTTGGCTTTTGCAGATTTCCATAAAGCCTTTGACACGGTAGAATTTGACAAAATTGTGGAAGCACTACAAGCATGCCGCATTGACTTCCGATATACAAGGTTAATTTACATTACATACAAAAACGCAACTATGTCGATGACACTACATAAAAACACGGATAATATGCCGATCGGCAGAGGAGTCCGACAGGGTGATACCTTATCGCCTAAACTGTTTACCATAGTACTAGAATATGCTTGTAAAAACTTAACTGGAAAGAGAAAGGCCTAAACATTGAAGGTAGAAGATTAACGAATTTGAAATTCGCAGACGACATAGTTTTGTTCTTGGACAACGTCAAGGAGATACATGAACTTCAGTTAGTGTGTGCCAGTGTGGGTCTTAAAATAAACATCTCCAAAACAAAATTCATGACAAACCTAGTACCTAACCGAAATATCAATAATGGAGACAACGAAGTAGAGCTGGTGAAAAAATACATATACCTATGGACACGAAATAAAGATCACAAGAGACAACCAAACATGCAACATACAACGAAGAATAAACCTAGCATTGGCTGGGAAAATTGAAAGACATCTTTAAAAGCCATATACCAATTTCTCTGAAAAGTAAAACATTTGACCAGTGTGTGTTGCATGTGATGACCTATGGTGCCAAAACTTTAAACTTTGACGCTGCAAATAGCTCATAGGAAAATTGTAAAAACTGCAATTCAACATATATTGGGCAAACACATCAATATCTACATAGGAGGGTTGTTGCACACAAACATAATGTACAAACCAAATTAAACATATATATATATATATATATATATATATATATATATATATATATATATATATTTATATATATATATATATATATATATATATATAAATATCAAGGACAGTAACGGGTTACTGGTAAACAACAGACAATTGAAGGTAACCGGGAACGACCCAATACTAAGGAAGCAATAAAAAACAGGTGCTTCAAAGTGAGTGTCTTTTATTAGTAGTCAAGCTTTCGCCACATAATTTTGGGCTTCATCAGAACTTGCTGTAATGGAAAAACATTCTTTACAATCATCGTAATTAAAGATGTTATTTTTAATATTACCTTAACGTTGACACTATTTCTTAGTGTAAATTATTGCAGATGTGGAACTACACATTGTTTTCCAAATACAAACCAAAACGCATCTCCTACTTAGAGGAAGACGGCAAACAAAGCTTAAATTAAATAATTATTAAATTTGTTATATTTTAATCACCATGTGGCCGGTATTATTTTTGACAAGACAATTGTTAATTAAGTCATGTGTCATATCGACTGTCACTTATCGATACGGCACCTGTCTCAATTACTTCTTCTTTTTGTTGGGTATAAGACACTACCTTTCTTCAGTCACATTATTGTGACTGAATAATGAATTTCGTTTAAAATCACAATTAAAATTGAATATATGTATACACACATATATACATCCATATACACATATACACATATATACATATGCACACACACATACACGTGTATATAGTTCCCGTTCTATATGAGCATATCATGTTTAAAATTCATTCGGTTTGTATTTAGTGTTGTATATAGTGGTCAACACTCCGGTAAGATGTATGTATTACATACCTTCTGTTAGAGAACTAAGTGTATCATGATGCTGATGGATATAAAAATAAAAATAAAAGTTGGAACTTGTTCTCAAAAGGGAAGTAATACATCCGGATATATGTTAGTGTATATCACAGATATTTCGTTGTTTTTTTTACATTTATTTATGTTAGTAGTATAAACACAATATGTCCAAAGAAGGGTCGGACATTTACAGATATGCTGAGATTTAACAAATAGACAATATAGTCTAGTTGACTGACATAAAAATATACAAAAGGAAAAACATTCTTTGTATATGACGTTAAGTTGTAAAATTTTTTGTTTTTATTTAAAATTATTAACATATTGACTTGTAAGTTAAATTGAATAGAAGTATAAATTTAGTGCAGGCAATCAACTAAGTCATAAGAGGTCGAAATACATCAAACGTACGATTCAGTGTATTGTACGGTTCAGTGTACGATGATTGTAAAGAATGTTTTTCCATTACAGCAAGTTCTGATGAAGCCCAAAATTATGTGGCGAAAGCTTGACTACTAATAAAAGACACTCACTTTGAAGCACCTGTTTTTTATTGCTTCCTTAGTATTGGGTCGTTCCCGGTTACCTTCAATTGTCTATATAATATATATATATATATAATATATATATAATATATATATAATATATATATATATATAAAACTTTATTTTTTCATATTTTTTAGTGGTTATTTGGTGTTAAATTTTTTAAAAAGGAAAAATATAAAGCTTTTTTACCATGAATACAGGACATCACCTTAAATATGAAAATCCTAGGCCCAAGGCTAATCCATTATCGAAATTATTTTTTGGGTAAGTAGTATAAAATCTTCTCCTATACCTGCTATTTTTCTTTGACAATCTATATAATGCTATTGCAATATTTAGTTCTTTGGCATTCTTATTATTATAGGATCCAGTTAGTGGCATTGATTTAATTGATACAATAAGAGAGACCCAGTTTTTTATGCACCACTTTGTAAAACCAAGGTATCAACTACAGATAGCATCATCGTCATCATCCAGCCTTTTGCATCCAAAGTTGAACATATACCTTCCCTAGTTCCTTCCATTTCTCCCAGTCTTAACATTCCTGTATACAGTTCCCAGCGATTCTTTTGATGTGGTCTATCTATCATGTGGGTCATGGAGGTGGTCTAACTTTGCTTCTTCTATCTACTTGCGGTCTCCACACTGTCATTTTGGCCACATTCAGTCATGCTATGCGCTCCATGACGTCTGTAACGCTTGTCCTTCTTCTTATTTCTTCGTTTCTAACCCCATCTCTGAGAGTCAGTCCAAGTAGCGATTGGTCTTTTCTACTTTGGGTCACTCTAAATATGGTTTGCTGTAGCCTGATATAAAATAATCTGGCAGGTTGCTCTTGAAGATGTCTGATAGACTGTCTGCTACAGTAATGAGAAGTTGCGACAATTTTACACTTCAAAATCACTATACTAAATCATAAAGAAACATTGGTCTCAAGAGTGTGCTCTCAAATTTAAAAATTAATATTTTTGGCATTAAAAAATGGATATTTTCTGTGTAATTCGTCATATTTGTGACCATTTTTATTTCTCCAGTAGCAATACTACCCCTTCTGTCCAGGTTAAAGATTGTGAACCTACACATCAACGTGGTCTTTTCGGAAAGATTTATAGAAGCACGAAAGTGGTATTTGTAAGGAGATAAAATAGGCGAATTAAATAGGATAGAGGAAGAATAAGAAGAGGAATTAATAAAAGACGTCTAAACCAAATTATTTAACAGTTTAACTTCAAAACAAATGTTTGAAAAAAACCCATGTACCTTTGTAGCAATAATTGCTAATATTATTCAATTACTTGTCTGGTTCTAATTACCGCAAATATCTGTAGCGCAAATTAACAGTAGTATGTTTATGGCGTGTTATTTTCTGCTATCTTAATGTCCTCGAGTTTTGTTATTTAGCAATTATTATCTACTAATTGAATAATTGTTAGTTATTTACCAAATAATATATACTAATTTTATAAAAACATTTTCAGGTGGATGATTTCATTTATTCGAAAGGGAAAAAAGGCCGAATTTCAGTTAAAAGATTTATTTAAATGTCAAGACAAAGACAGATCTCAGATTTTGGGGGACAAACTTCAGCGTGCTTGGGATGAAGAAATAGTTGCATTAAAACAAAATAACAAAAAACCTAGTTTGCTTAAAGCTTTGGCAAAAGCCCATTATTTTGAATTTATGCTTTATGGAATATTATGGTTTATACTATATGCTGTGATTATGTAAGTATTGTGTTTTATCATGTTAAGAGATTCAAGTTATGTCAAAAGAGAAAATTTATTAGAACAGTTGTGAGAGGGATTGATAAATTTCTTGTAAAAGCAAAGGATTTTATTAGGGCTCATTGTAGTATTCATTTTATAGAAAATGAATATTGCAATTACAAGATTGCAGAATATAATGAAAGAATAATGTGGTTCAGGGATGGACGGTCTTGCACTGATAACGTATTTTGCTTAAAGTAGATTATAAAAAAGAAAACAGTAAGAAGGCAATAACGACACGTAACTTTTTTTGATCTGCAAAAGACCTGCGATACAGTAGTAATAATAAAATTTTAAAAAATACTTCGAGACGTCAATATCAAAGTTCCCTGGTATGGGAATATAATGATCAGGTCATTATAACGAACGATAAAGAAGACTTGCAATGCATGCTAAGAAAGTTGGCCGAAGAATATCAGAAAAAGGGACCAATATTTAATACCGAAAAAATATAACAAAGAATATAAAAATAAAGAATATAAAAAAACATGAAGTTTATTGTGACAGGTGTCTGATTGTCACGCTGACGATTTCCAGATGGAAGGGTATAAGAAATGAAGTACTGGTACATGGAGCGCTTGGTAACAAAAGGTACAATAATGGATAGTATACCAGGAAGGCAGCTCAAATGGTATTGTCGCTGGCCTGAACCCTCGGGAATAAGGGAAGGTGGTCCAGTCGCACTATCCATAGCTGAAATGGACCAGAGCAGGTAAGGGTCACGGACCGTGGACATATAGTTAGGTCATATACGCCCACAAGCTAGAAATATCTTTTAAAACAAATGCAAATAAATGTTAACTAAAACTAAGAATCTGCAATAAAAATTAGTCTTAGAACTAAGAATCTAAAAGAGAAATTTATTATTTATCACATCTAAGACTAATTTAGCAAAAAAAGGTAAAAATGAAAAAAAAAAAGTGAAAAAAAGTGAAAACCTCGGTGGGCTCGTCCTGGACCATAAAATCATGAAACTGGCTGATGCACCAGTGTCTATAGAGCCTTGATTTTTGCGGAGTAGATTTCAGCGGAAATCTCGGGCAATGGTGACGGAGCAGCTTTTATCTCCGTGGAAGTCTCAGGCAGTGATTGATACGCATAAACTGATGGATTTCAGGACGTAGCTGTTCGATGATAATTCCCAGTTACCTTCATCCAGCGTGTTTGGTGATACCCTGTTGAAGAGGGCCATCTTCAGGGAGATAAGGTCTGCTGCGGACTCCATCTTCTGCCGTAAAGCCGAAATTGAGCTATTGGCGACAGTATAAGCATGTATAGAAAAGAGACAAATAATAAAAACATGGATAGCAGAAGTGAGAAAATCAATGAGCTCCAAATAACTCAGGGAAAGAATGCAACAATCGGCATAGATGGAAATTCATGTTGATTGTCATTGGCATCGAAAAACGTCAAAAAAAGTTGTAAATTCAATGTGTAATCACAAATTAAACCCATTAACTGGTTAAGCCCACTTTTCTTTAATATAATAGCGAATTAAATAATACAAGCAGCACGTAAAGGTCATGGTTATAGAAACGGGAACTAAGAAATACAAATGTTAATGTTATGCAGACGACGCTGCATAACTTAATTGTCGAGACAGAAGACGAGCTTCAAAGATTAACACATATCTTCACTACAACAGCCAAGAAATACAATATGATAATATCAGCAGAAAGAAACAAATGTATGACAACATCTAAATACCCACTACGATGTAAAATTGAAATTGATAGGAAAATAATAAAGCAGAAAGCAAGGTTTAGATATCTGGAAATAGATACAACTATGTAGTTACCGAGATGTTGAAGAAGAAGTACGACAACAAAGCTTAGAAGAAAGTAAAGCGGCGGGATCTCTTAATGACACAATCTGGAAAAACAAACACCTAAGACAAGACACAAAACAAGAATCTATAATGCAGCAATTAGACCTATATTAACATACACGGCGGAGACAAGACCTGGCACATCTAAAACTAGACGTATACTAGAAACTAGAAACAACTGGGATAAAAATACTCCGACCAATATCAGAAAAAAGTCTGTTGATACGATATAAAAGAAATAAATGGATGGTTGACAAAACGGAAACAGACGTGGATTGAACACATTAAAAAAATCCACAAGGAAAACAATTCCTGTAGCTGGCTGTATACCACGTATCACAAAAAAGAGGTTAGTCTTCGTAAGTGGGTATATTTATTTAAAAACCTTAAAAGGGCTACATCAAAAAAACAAACGTTTTCGGACTAAACAGTCCATCATCAGGTTTTTAAGGTTGCCAACATAGGTTGCCTAATACACAGGTCATCCTCTTAAACACGACTTTAACACCATTGGTGATTTCACATCGATTATAACCCTGATTTTAAATCCCAACACCTATATTGCTGTTATTATTTTTTAAAATCATCAAAAATAATTTTTGAATCTTTTGGCTGTAGTAATACTAGGTATAACTAATATAGTTCTATGTTACATTGACATTTTGTTTTTGACACCTTTCATAGGCATATTGTAAATCAGTTTCCAGCTGTTCTCCGTGCGTAGAGATTTTCTCCCCGGCTCTGGAACTCAATTTTTTGCAATGTATGTTACCTGAAGTCATATTTAATTTAATACTGAACATCACAGTTTTTTAACAACAAGATGTATATTCTTTTATAACTATATGTAATTTAAAGGGTTTTTACCCATGTATTTTTGGTGGCTCAGGCATTTTAACCTAGTAAGTCTAGCCATTTTTTGCTTTTTAATCATAGTCAAAATTTCATAACCACGTTTGTTTTAACTAAATGGTTTATACTTATTTTGAGGCGATTTTAAAACCTGATGATTGACTGTTTAGTCCGAAAACGTTTGTTTTTTTGATGTAGCCCTTTTAAGGGTTTTTAAATAGATATACCCACTTACGAAGACTAACCTGCAGACCAAGACAAAGATGGTGCCATCATTTAAACAATGTATCATCTACATACAAGAATAAAAAGACATTAATGTTAATTTCTTATGAGTCACTAAACGGACGAAGAAGTATTGGCAGACCAAGACAAAGATGGTGCCTTGATTTAAACAATTTAGAAGGCTAATATTGAAGAAAAAACAGGCTTCAAAGCCTACATACAAGAATAAAAAGACATTAATGTTAATTTCTTAATTTTGAAACGTCTTTTTGTCTGTAAAAATTTTTTTTTTGTATAATTAAAATAATCTTCTCGATCTACTCTTACCAAACGAATTCTAATTATTAATTTAACGGGAACTTGACATTCTAATCGCTCTTGTATTACAGGTGCTCTCAACCAGTGGTACTAGGAAAACTACTCTACTTTTTTTCAGTTGAGTTGACGGACGAAATAAGAACCAATATATACATTTATGGTTTTCTCTTAATAGCCTTAGATGCAGCAGTAATATTTATTTATCATCACTGTTTTTTTGGATTAATGTGTGTAGCAATGAGGGTCAAAATATCAGCATCATCTTTAGTTTATCGCAAGGTAAGAAACAGATAATCTTTTACTTGAAATATATTTGTTATAAATTGGTTATATACGTCATTTATGCACGAGAAAATTGTGGCTTATTTTACCAGCAGCTTAACAGAAGAATATAATATCTAAATATCTACCAATTTTACGACATAAACCAAGTTGGCATGTGTCGTTTTAACTGAAAAGAACCACGTGTTCAAACCGAGCAAGGAGACATGTAGCTATTCAAGTATTAATTTTTATCCAATGTCATCGACCCAGAGTTACAGTATAATTTAAATTTGGAATAATGTAAAACCATATATGGATGTCACAGCTACAATTTTAGTGTTAGCTTCAATTACATAAGAAGGTACTAAAGATGATCTGATTAGATCGAAAACGTCACGTTATGCTACTGTATAAATTTTGACGACACTTTTTAAAAGTTTTAACTATATGTTTTTATACCTAAATACAAATGTGAAGTGTTTTAACTTCTGTATAAGTTTTTTTAAACGATGGTATGCAGCCAACTACTGGGATTTTCCCATTAATTTTTTAATCAAATCATTAGTTAAAAATACAGTATTCCTAACTAAATTATTATCATAACTAACGTATTATGTATATTGAAGATTATGAGACTTAGTCAAAAAGCTCTAACGGAAACTGGAGCTGGACAGATAATTAATTTATTATCCAATGATGTCAGCCGATTTGATTATGGATTATTGCCCTTACATTCTCTTTGGGTGATGCCTTTTCAAGTAATATTTTTAACCATTATCATTTGGCAACAAGTTGGTCTGTCATCACTGGTTGGAATTATTGTTATGGGAATTATTAGTTTGCTGCTACAGGGTAAGTTACTTTTTATTAATTACTTTATTTTAATTGTTGCACTCTGCATTGAACTACAATGTTCTTACCACTTTGATTGTTCGAAAAATAATCATGATATAAAATGTATATTTTTGTACTCTTTTTGAGTAGATACCCTTTTAAGAATATACCTTATACATATTTGAATTAAACAAAAATACTTCTTCAGAGATTTAGAGAGCACCTCTAATAACAGATTATTATGCTTTGTGAACTTCTTATTGCGCCGTCCCCTTTCAAAGGTTGGTGATCCAAATGGCAATTGTACCTTTGAAAACAGCTGTATGGACGATTTTGTGGATAAGCGGTCAAAGCATCTCCTCAGGTCTTATATATATATATATATATATATATATAATATATATATATATATATATATATTATATATATATATATATATATATTATATATATATATATTATATATATATATATATATATATAATCGGTTTAAAACGTCCTCCGACGTCTTCCGATGCCCAATCTCCATGCATCTCTATCTTCCCAAAGATCTTCGTCTAAACCTCTCTCTTCGGATCTCTCTGTCTATTCCTTCTCTCCAGCTCTTTCTGGGTCGGCCTCTTTTTCTCTTTCCATGTGGTGACCAATCTATAATCTGTTTGGGCAGACGATGTTCTGGCATTCTCTGCACATGTCCATACCACTTTAGTTGTTGTACTCTTATATCTTCGACAATCGTATGTGTGACTCCCATAACCTCTCGTATACGTTCGTTATTAATTCTTTCGAGTTTTGATTTTCCTGCGGCCCGTCTCCAGTAGTCCATCTCCGTGGCTTGTAGTGTTCTTTCAGTAGTTGCCTTTAACTGCCACACGTCACTTCCATACATTACGATGCTCTTTATAATAGTGTTGTATATTCGATGTTTATTTTTTTTGGATATATGTTGATCCCAGATAATACTATTTAGTTGAGATATGGCCCTTCTACCCTGAGTGTTTCGTTTTTTTTATAGCCTGATCTGATTTGCCGTCGTCTGTGATTTCTACTCCTAAATAGGAATATTTATTGTTGTACTTAATGTGTTGTCCGTCGTTTAAAACTAGATTTTGTTCTTTACCACCGATGTTCACGTACATTGTTTTATCTATGTTGACTTCTAATCCCCATTTTTTGTATTCTTCGATTAATTTTCGAGTCATATATTCTAGGTCGTCATATTCGTTAGCAATCACAATTTGATCATCAGCAAAACATAAAGTGTACAGGTTGTTATTGTTTAATTGTATACACATGCCGCTGCATTTCCGCTTCCAGAGTTTTAATGCTTGTTCCAGATATATTTTGAAAAGTGTCGGCGCTAAGCAGCATCCCTGCTTTAGTCCTTTGTCTACTACAAAACCTTTGGAAACATTCGTTTCTATTTTAACTTTGGCGTTGGCGTTCTCATATAGTTTTTCCATTGCTGTTATGAGATTTGAGTTGATGTTCGTTTGTCTGAGAGTGTTCCATAACTTATTTTGAGGGATGCTATCGTAGGCCTTTTTTAGATCAACAAACAAAAAGTGGACTTCTTGATCTACAGCAACCTTTTTTTCTATAAGTTGGGTGATACAAAAAAGGTGGTCTATGGTCGATCTACCAGCTCTAAAACCCGCCTGTTCTTCTGCCTCCATATCAGTGTATTCTCTTTCTATTCTATTTTTGATCATTTTCCCATCGATTTTACTAATGGTACTAGTAACTGCTATTCCACGGTAATTGTCGCAATTTTGTTTGTTTCCCTTTTTATGTACAGTTGAAATGGTTGAGGTTTTAAATTCGGCTGGAACCTCTACTTTGTTTATGCAGTTTTGAAAGAGTATTATCAAATGCTCATATAGTTTTTCAGTTCCATATTTTATCAGTTCTGAGGGTATATTGCCAGGTCCGGGCGCTTTTTTGTTTTTGAGTGAAATACAGATATCCCTTACTTCCTTTTTTGTGATTCTTATAGGAGATGCTTCAACGCGTATGTTTTGGTTACTTTCTTTTATTTTAAATTCCATTCGGTCTTCTTGTAACAGTTTACTGAAGTACATGTCCCATGTTTCTAACGAAATTGGTGAGCTTAAATCTTTTTTCTTGTCGTTGGTCCTAAGAGATTTAATAAGTTTCCAGCTTTCTGTACTTCTAGTTCCTCCTATGTACGTATTTAATTTTTGACAGTTTTGATCCCAGGATTCATTTTTTTTCTGTCTTATCATTTGTCTCACCTTAGCTTGATGGTTTTTGTAATCAGACCAATTTGTATCTGTTTTTGCACTTAAATATTGTTCATACTTTTGTTTCTTTTGTTTTATCGCTGTGTCTATTTCTTCATCCCACCAGTATGGAGTATTTTTGTTTTTCTTTTCGTAATATCCAAGCGCTTCTTTTGCTGCAGAGTGAATACTTTCTTTAATGTAATTGTAGTGGTCTTCGATGTTATTGAAATTTATGTTTTCAAGTTTCTCGTTCAGTCTATTTTGATACAATATTTTTACACTATCTTGATCTAAGCTGATAAGATTATATCTTACATCTTCTGCCATCTCTGAGCGAACTACTGGTTGTTCATTCTGGCTTCTTCTTGAAAACATTATTTTTGCTTATAAGATTCCTCAGGTCTTTCAGCCACAAAATCTGGCAGCTTCTTACTTATCGTTTGCCTTGTATTTTACCTTCCAATATGATTTGGAGAGGTTTGTATCTTTCGCCTCATATTAACTATCTTTTTGTTTACTCATGTGCCAAAGTACCTCAGCGTTCGTAACTTTTTGTACCCATGAAATTCTTAGCAACCAACCATTTGTGAACTACCAACCGTTATTTATCACAGTGGAGACAAATAAAGCAAGCTTAATATACGCACAAGCCAAATTCTGACTCTGAATGAACACATGCAAAAAAGATTCGTCGATATAATCCCCGCCACCATCAATCAGTTTAAGGACTCCCAACTCGCCAAAATAGTAAAATCACTGCTAAAAATAGATAATTCCGCATGAGTCTTGAGACGAGAAAAAGTTACTGGTGATCCCAGACAAACTGCTTGGCTCAGGGTAGCGTACTAGCAAATAAACTTTGAAACTTTGCAGAGGTGTAAACAAAAACTGCAAACTGTCCTAAATTTGATGTCCGAATAATATAAATAAAATTCGGTACGGCCAAATCTAACTAAAGCTTAGGTATGCGCTATAATTCTTTAGTCTCGACAGACCAAAAGGAAACTTAACGTCACCTACAATTAAAATAAACAGGAGCACACCAAAAAACTAACATGCCCCGGAATTAAACTAGACTGCTCATCAATATAAAAGTTCTATTAAAAAATCAAAGGATGGTGGATGCGCATAACAACATTATACGGAAACTTAGCACTAGCAAATGGGGCGCCAAACTTACAGTATCAATATCAACAGCGCAGACGCTACGCTTATTACCAGTTCGATAAGACCAACACGACTAGATAAAATCTATAGCGGTTTAAGTCTCTCGAATCCTGACTAGCGTAGAATGGCACAAAACTTGACTAGAAGATCTAGGGCAACCCTCGACAACCGTCACTTCCTTGTTGGTCATTAACCTCATCCTGACAGACTAAAATCAATAAAGCGCTTTTTTAGTGCCTGGCTAGACAAACTATCAGTCTGTTATGCACTGATCATTCTGTTATCCGGTATTGGGTCCGACGCTATGGAAACTTGCATATGATGGAATCATGAACTGCCAAGTAACCCTTCGCCTTTGCGGATGATCTCGCTGTGCTGGTAGAAGTGCGAGATAGATCACGGACTGAAACTCGCGGTAAAAAAGACAGAAGCCATCATTTTGAAGGGTAAACGGAAAAGACAAGGGATGGAACTACAATTTTCAGGGTCACAGGTAGCATCAAAGGAATGCGGCACTCATTGCGGTGTTATATGGACATTGGTTAACTTGTCTTATATTTCTGCATATATATCTCTTGGTCATCATCATCATTTAACCCGAATCTATCCACTGCTGGATATAGGTCTCCCTCAGTCTTTTCCATGTATTTCTGTTTTGTGCTGTTTGCATCCAATTTTTGTCGATCTGTTTTATGTCATCAGACCATCTTGTTGGTGGACGACCTCTACTTCGATGTGCTTCTTGTCTCGGTCCCCACTGTATTATTCGCTGTGTCCATCTGTTATCCGACATTCTAGCTATGTGCCCCGCCCAGTTCTACTTAAGGGTCATAATTCTTTTATGGCATCTGTCACTCCTGTTCTCCGTCTTATTTCCTTGTTCGTGATCCGATCCCTATGAGAAATGCCTAACATAGATCGTTCCATGGCTCTTTGGGTAACACAATTTTAATTTCTTGGTTAGTGTTAATGTCTCTGCACCATATGTAAATACTGGCAACACGCACTGATCAAAGACTTTTCTTTTAAGACACATAGGCAGTTCTGATTTAAGAACATAGCTCAGCTTGCCGAATGCCACCCAAGTGAGTCCTATGCGGCGGCTTAGTTCGCACGTTTGATTATCTCTTCCTATGCGTATCTCATGTCCCAAGTACTTATAAGAGGTGGTTTCTTCAATATGCATGCCATTTACTGAAATCTTTTCGCTTAACACAAGATTTGTCATGATTTGTGTTTTTGTGTGGTTGATTTTTAATCCAACTTGTAGGGAGGCTATATATAGTTTCTCCAGTTGCGATACTGCATCATCGATTCTGTCAGCAAAAAGGACAATATCATCAGCAAACCTCAAATAACTAAGCATTTCTCCATTGACATTAATTCCTTTTTCACTGATTTGCGTTCTTAAACATATGCTCTAATAATGTTGTAAACAATTTTGGCGAAATTGTGTCTCCCTGTCGCACTCCGTCGTTTTATTTTAAATACGTTGGTCTTTTTATCTGCCAGTTTCACGCTTGCTGTCCCATTTTGATAGATGTATTTTATCATGTTTATATAGCGATGCTCTATACAGCACTCTGTTAAGGCTTTTAACATCTTTTGATGACTTATTGCGTCGAAAGCTTTTTCGTAGTCAACAAATATCATGACTAATGGCTTGTTATATTCAACACTATTTTCTATTAAGTTCTTAATTACTTGTTAATGATCATTCGTGCCATATCCTGCTCTAAAACCTGCTTGCTCTCTTGGCTGATAGAAATCTAACTTACTTCCTAGCCTGTTGGTAATAACTCTTGTAAATAGCTTATATACTTGTGACAACAAGCTAATGGGGCGGTAGTTTCTAAGGTCGCTGATATCTCCCTTCTTATGAAGTAAGATGATTTCCGCGTTGTTCCACTGCGTCGGTGTTATCGCTTCGCACAGACATTTATTGACCAGTTTAGCAAGTGTCAGTAAGAGCTTATTTCCTCCTAGTTTTAGGCTTTCGGTCATTACCCTGTCTTCACCTGGGGATTTATTGTTCATCACCCGAAGCGCATTTTTAATTTCGTCAACAGTTATGTTCGGCATTAATTCTGAGCCTTGATTCTCTATCTTTGGTAAAGGGCGTCTTTTATCGGATTCACTTGTTTTATAGAGTTGTCTGTAGAAGTCTTCCACTATTTTCACTATTTCTTCCTTATCAGTCACAATGTCGTCTTGTTTATTTCTTAACTTATGTATGTTCTTTTTTCCTGTGGACATGTTGTGTCTTAGAACTTTCAGACTTCTATTTTTCTCTATCACCCTTGTCACCTCTCTCATGTTATGTTGCCGTATGTCTTTTCGGATTTCTTTGTTTATTGTTTCTACTGAGTTGACTAAATTTTGCATAGTTTTTGTTATACCTGTCCTTTAGCCTCCTTCTTTCTTCGATCAGATTTTTAGTGTTGAGACTTATTTTCTCATGTTTTTTCTTCATTTTAGGACAGCACAACTTCTCCGCTTCTTTAAGGGCTTTTACGATACTTTCGTTTAAAACTTCGACCTGTGTTTCGTCGTTGATTTGTTGAACGTTATGGTCAATGATGTCACGAAAGTGGTCTGTATTTTCGGGCGGGGTCCATTTACGATTGTCTGATTTTATCATTTTTGTTCGTTCAATCTTTAAATTGAACAGAATTTTTGCTCGAATCAATCTGTGATCGCTTCCAATTGTAAATCTGTTTAAAACAGATACATCTTGTACAATTTCTTTTTTATTAGCAATGATAAAATCTGTTTCGTTCTTTGTGAAACCGTCTGAACTTTTCCATCTCTTGGTATAATATATTTAATGGTAGTTATAATGTAGAATGTTAAAATGGTAGTAATTCTAAACAATTCCACATCTACTTTTATTGGTTAATCATTTAACGACTGCTTATTTTGTGTTTAGGTTACATGGGAAAACTATCTGGAGACTATCGGTCAAAAATCGCAAAGAGAACGGATAAAAGAGTACAACTAATGAGCGAAATTGTATCAGGAATTCAGGTCATAAAAATGTACGCTTGGGAAAATCCGTTTGAAAATTTAGTAAAATCAGTTAGAGCTCTAGAAATGAAAGACATTACAGTTTCGGCTTATTTAAAGGGACTGTATGGAAGCCTAATGTTTTTTCTTGACAAATTATCGCTATACCTTACAATTACCACATATGTCTTATTAGGTAAGCTATTTTTAATTCTTATTTAAGTAATGGTTTTTAAATCAATCATAATAAGTGATAAATATAAGTTGTACGTGTAACCTGAAAAATATTTGTAAAGATCGTTCACAAGGAAACTGCGAAATAATTCATCAACTGGATTAGACGGACTCACCTCTTTTTTCCTCAAACAATGTGTAGATTCTGTAGCCATCCCTATATCTCTTATAATGACAGCTTCTTTTAATCAAGGTTCTCTCCCCTCGTCCTGGAAATTGGCTTCAGTTACTCCTGTATTCAAGAAAGGTAATAAACTTGATTGCAATAATTATCGTCCAATCAGCCTGGTTCCTATTGTCGGCAAGGTCATGGAATCGATTATTTCGGAAGTTATGTCCGAGTTCCTTCTTCAAGAAAATGTCATCCCTCACCAGCAGCAGGGATTTATCAAAGGTCGTTCAACGATCACAAACTTACTTTTTTGTGTAAATGATTGGTCATTATCTTTAAACAATCGGAATCCTGTCGATGTAGTTTACTTAGACTTCTCCAAAGCTTTCGATCGTGTTCCAAAACGTCGATTACTAGCTAAATTGGATCACTATGGTATCCGCGGAAAGTTAAACATTTGAATACAAGATTTTCTATCCGACATATACTTCAAGGTTCGTGTTGGGAAAGACCACTCACTAGATAAGCCAGTCAAGAGTGGAGTTCGACAAGGATCAGTACTTGGACCGCTACTTTTTTGTGTCTACACTAGTGATCTTCCGCTCATTGTATCCAGTAAGGTTTCCATTTACGTTGATGACACGAAGTTATATGTAAATCCAACTATTAACCAACATATTCTTCAACAAGATCTTGACGCAATATTCAAATGGTCCTCAGAATGGTTACTTCCGCTTAAACATTGAAAAATGCGTTGTTTTACATATCGGCAAAAATAACCCATCACTGCCGTACTTTATTAATGGACATCCTTTAAACTCTGTAACCTCACTCAACTTTGGGCACATGCCTCCCCCAAATCAATCCAGTGTTTTTTATTTTGCGCCACTTGCTTCCAGTTGTGTCCTACAATCTTCTTTATGTCATCAGCCCATCTCATTTGTGGTCTTCCTGTGCTTCTCTTCATTATTGTATTTCAGGGTTCCGTCTTTTATCCTTCAGTCGGACATTGTGTTCTGCGAAGCTCCAAAAGCGTCTTCTACTTTGGTTTTGCTTCTAATCCATTTGTTTGTTTTTTTGTCTATAAGTCTCACAGCGAGCAAAAATCTTTCCATCGCTCTTTGTGCCTTTACTATTTTATTCATATTAGACTTCGTGAGTGTCCACGTCTGTGAACCATACGTGAGTATAGGGAGGATACACTGATCGTAAATTCTATTACTATTACTATTATTCTTTTGGTAATTTTGGCAGTTTGATTCTGTTTGTTAACTTTCATTATCTGTCCCAGGTAGATGTATTCGCTTAGTGTTTCTAAATTTATGTCATTCAACGTTATTTTTCTAATGTTCGGTGTATTTTTCATTATTTTTGTTTTTTCCAAGTTCATCTTAAGACCTACTTTTTCGGAAGCTTGAAATAGTTGCGTCATCGTGGTCTGTAGTTCTTGGAAACTTGTAGCGAATATTACAATGTGATCAGCGTATCTCAAATGATTCAGTTTTCTTCCATTAACACGTATTCCTTTATCTGCCCAGGTAATGTCTTTGAACACGTCTTCCAGTCCAAATGTGAATAGCTTTGGTAAGATAACATCCCCCTGACGAACTCCCCTATCTGGTGATTGGCATAGCTTTGGTTTTCGCATCTATTTGTAATTTTATTGTAGTTTTTTTTGTAAATATTATATATGAGTATTATGTATCGGGAATCTATCCTGCAATTGTTCATAGCTCTCTCTATTGCCCAAAGTTCTATGGAGACGAATACCTTTTCATATTCAATGAAGCCAATGTATAAGTTTAAGTGATATTCATTGACTTTTTCTATTAGCGTTCTGACTTTAAGAAGATGATCCGCTGTACTGCAATCCTTTCGGAATCCTGCCTGCTCAAGTGATTGATAGCTATTGAGATTCGACGTTAACCTGTTAGTTATTACTCTCATAAACGGTTTGTACATTTGGGAGAGCAGGGAGATTGGCCTATAGTTCTTTAAATCCCCCTGTCTTCTTTTTTAAAGAGAAGTATTGTCAACTTTCATTCCAATCATCAGGGACTTCACCTCTGTGAAGACATTCGTTGAAATTTTTTTTCAATTCTTCGAGAAGAATATAGGAGTATTCCATCTGGACCCGGAGCCTTACTGTTCTTTAGTTATACAATAGCTTGTTATTATTTAAGGGTTGACACCTAATAATATTTAACTGAATAAGTAGAGAAGGGGAGAACTATTTACTTAAGTTAATCATTCAGAATTATGTCTGTATTTTTTAATTTTGTTAGGCCTTTATTTTAAATGTAAAGAATTTTTAAATTGGACGTTAGATGAATAATTAGAAATTTTGATGATGATACATATATGTTACTAGAAGGTGAAGTGTGTAGGTAGAATCTATTTTTCTATTATTAAAAGTCCTTTTGTTATCTTCTACAGGTTTGTTAAAACTTTTACAAGTTTGACCGATTTAAATTAGATTTTCTAATATGATATATCTACATTTGTTTTGACAACTGTATTTTAACAGTTGTCAAAACAAACTTAGATATATCATATTGGAAAATCTCAATCTCTTTTTAGGATATAGTATTACTGCCGAGAAGGTATACTCTCTAACTAAAGCCTACAATATCCTCCAAGTGGCAATGGCCACGTGGTATCCTGCAGCGATAAGACTTGGATCAGAATGCTTAATATCCGTAAAAAGACTTCAGGAGTTCCTATTACTGGAAGAAAAAAGAGATCAAGTTAATTATGAAAAGCCAAATTCTGACGTAATACTTTCCAACATTAATGCTTCTTGGACAACGGGTTCCATAAATTTCCAAAATCTTAACCTTAGAGTTCCAAATGGATCGTTATGCGTAATTATTGGCCCGGTTGGTGCTGGAAAAAGTTCTCTACTGCAAGTAAGTTTTACTTAATTTATTAAAATGGTTTTAAAAGGGCAAGTGTCAAGCCAAAAATGAGAAATTAAAAAAAAATTGTTTTCTAAATGTTTATTACTGTTTATTTACTTTTTATCTATTAATATTTTGCAGTTAAAGAACTGTTTCCGAAGTGGAAATCGAAACGTCGAAATAAACTTATTTTAAAATAGAATCGTGGCTTATTTTCAATAAAAATAGTAAATTTTACAAGAAAACCAAGCGACACACTCAAGGACACATGACAAGAACAACAGAGTGCAAGAACAAAAACGGGACAATTATCATTGAGAAAGAGAAACTAATAAAAACGTAGAAGGGCAATTTTCAAGAACTCTTATACACAGAAAAACAACAAAAATCAACAACAAAAACAACAAAAAAACCAAGAAGAAGAAATAATTTATCACATAGCAAAACAATTGGTTAAGGAAACAACATTGTAAAAACTATATATGTCATAAAACATTTTTCAAAAATAACAAAATGCCTGACACAGATGGTATACCTGCAGAACTGATAAAGAATTGTGGATATGTGCTATGTAAGCATATCCATAAACTAATCTTCCGCATATGGACACGAGAAGTCATAGAGGATTGGAGCCCTTTGTCAGCCAATCCAAATGCTTAAAGCATGTTCCAGCACAGTATGAAAAAGTTTAGATGACATTGTCTAACCTCCGGCCTTATTTTTATGCGATTACTATTAGGATGTAAGTTGACCGTGGTTGTAAATAATTTTATCTACCTAGAGTCTAGCCTGTGAAGCAGAAGTTCGGACAGGTATTGGTATGGCAAAAAAGGGGTTAAGTCGCATAACTTAAGTTTGAAAAGACAGATCTGCTTCTCAAAATATCAAAATGAGCCTGGTGAATGCCCTTTTATTCTCGATATTTCTATACGAGACAGAGACTTACATACGCGCCAAAAAATTGGTGCTATTGAGATGATGTGCTGAAGAAAAATGCTGTGCATACCTTGGACAGCTCATTAGACAAACGTTTTCATTCTAAAAAAGGCTGTCCACAAATATGTCTGCAACGTATTCTGCAAATTTTTTGGTCACTTGGATCACATAGATGACGATAGTTTGGAGAGATTAATTGTTTCTGGAAACTTTCGGGAGCAGAGTTTTTTGTTGGCTTGGGCATTATTCAGATGGAAACAGCACACTTCGATTTTCGTTGCACTGTGCCGTAGCTTCCATTTTCGAAAGTATTCTCCCATAACTACAAGATTATCTGTTAGTATTGTTTCTGTAATATCCCTGTTATTATGTCTTGCTGTAATGGCCCAATCGTCAGCGTAGCCAAATTTCTGCGAAGTTATCCCAGGTAGGTCTGCGATGTATAAATTAAACAGTAAGGGTGCCAAAACAGATCCCTGTGGCAGTCCATTGCTGAGCTTTGTTTGGATATTTTACAAAATTGCCCATTGTGACTTGAAAAGGTCTGTCGGTAAGCATGCTATCAATGAGGTTAGTTAACTTATGACACGGGATGGCACGGATTAGTTTGCAGATTGGTCTTTGTGTCCAGACAGTATCCTATGCTGTTGATAGATCAATGTAAGCAATGGATGTTTTTTGCTTTCTTTCCTGCTTCAATAGGTGTTGTTAGGGATAGGATCTGATCTGTGCAGCTGCGGTTAGGTCTAAACCCTGCTTGCTCAATAGGTACCTCTTCTTCTTCTTCGTCTAGCCATTCACATCCACATCTGAACATAAGCCTCTTTAAGTCTTCCTTTCCATTGTTTTTTATTGTACGCTACTTGTAGCCAATTTTTCCCGGCAGTCCTTTTCAGATCATCTGTCCATCTCATAGGAGGTCTGCCTCTGGGTCTTTTGTGTTGGTATGGTCTCCAGGTTAAAATTGATCTGTGCCATTTGTTTAGATCGCTCCTAGCTACATGTCCAGCGTATTCCCATTTCAACTTTAATGATTTTTGCACCACATCGGTGACTTTGGTTTTCTGTCTTATCCATGTGTTTGTTTTCTTGTCCTTAAGTGATATACCTAGCATTGCTCTTTCCATCGCGTGTTGAGTGACTCTAAGTATATTCATATTCTTTTTTGTGATTGTCCATGTTTGTGCCGCATAAGTTAATATCGGAATAATGCATGCATCAAAAACTTTAGATCTAAGATGTAATTGAATTTGTTGATTTCTGAGTATATAGTTCAGTTTACTGAATGCTGCCCAAGCCAACTTTCTTCTTCTTTTTATTTCTTCAGTTTGAATTTTCCTATTTAGGATTATTTTTTGTCCTAAGTATATATATTCTTCAACTTTTTCTATAACTTTATCGTTTATTATTGTCACGGTGTCTTCGGAGTGCATGGCTTTGTTTTGTTTAAATTCATTTTCAGTCCTATTTTAGAAGATTCGGTATGTAGTTCTAAAAGCATGGTTTGCATTTCTTGTAGGTCAGTAGCTAACAGGATTATGTCATCTACAAATCGTAGATTACTGAGGTAGCGGCCATTGATGTTTATTCCCTTATATTTCCAATTTAGGTTTTTAAAAACGTCCTCCAAAACTAAGGTGAACAGTTTGGGTGATAAAGTATCTCCCTGTTTGACTCCCCTGTTTAATGGTACAGGGTTCGTGTGTTCATTTTCATTTAGGTAGTATGTAGCTGTAGCTTGGTTCATAGTTTTTTTTATTAAGTTAATATATTTGCTGTCTATTCTACAATTTTGCATTGCGTTTATTACGGCCGTGTGTTTTATGGTATCGAAAGCTTTTTCGTAGTCTACAAATGCTAGGAAAACTGGAAACTTGTATTCGTTACATTTTTCTATCAATATTTTTGTGGTTAACAGGTGATCGGAAGTTGAATAGCCTTTTCTAAAACCTACCTGTTCATATGGTTGGTATTCGTCTAATTTTCTTGTTAGTCGAGTAGTTATGACTTTGGTGAGTATTTTAAACAGGTGTGACAGTAGGCTGATGGGTCTGTAGTTTTCCAATTTTCGACTATCACCTTTCTTGTGTAATAAGATTACTTTAGAGTTGTTCCAGCTCTTAGGGACTTTGCCCTGATGTAAACAACTGTCCACAAGCTTAGTTACAATTGCAATTAGTTCCTTACCTCCTTCTAATATCATATCTGTGGTAATACTATCTTCTCCTGCAGCTTTATTTCTCTTCATGTTTTCCAATGCTGTAGTTACCTCTGAAATTGTTACTTTTGGCATTATTTCCGATCCAACATTTTTTATTAATTTCCGTGCTGGTCTCATCTCATCATCTTGTTGATATGATCTGTAAAGTTCTGTGTAAAATTCTTCTATTCGTGTCAGTATGTTTTCTCTACTTGTGATTTCATTTTCGTCTTTTCCCATTAATGATATCATCTGACGTCATCCTAGTGTCGGTCTGAGGCATTTCATACTCTTATTTTTTTTAATAGTTGTTGTTATTAATTTTTCGTTTTCTTTTCTTTTTTGTTGTCTAATTCCTTTTCTAATCTGCCTATTAACTTCTCTATATTCGTCGGTTCCCCTTTTGTTAGATTTATTTAAGATCTTCCTTCTTTCTATTTGTTGTAATATTTCTTTGTCTAATTCATTGTATGTTGTTTTTGGTTTTTTCATTTCCAGAAGGCTTTTATTCACTGTTTCGGTAATAAGGTTATTCAAATCATCAATATCATTGGAGTTTATCTGCTGCATGCTAACTTGATTTAATGCATGCACTATCTTTTTTATTAAATTCACTATTTTTGATTTCTTCAGATGTCCATTTGTATCTTTTTTCATGTATTCTTTTTATTTCTAGTTTTTTGTTAATTATTAGTTTTGTTCTTATTAGTCTATGATCGCTTCCTAGGTCAAACTGATTTAATACTGATACGTCTTCTACTAGGTTTCTATTCTTCGTTAAGATATAATCTATTTCATTCTTTGTCTTTTTATCGGGACTCATCCATGTCCATTTTCTGCTTGGTTTTTTTATTGAAAAAGGAGTTCATTGAGTACATGTTATGTTCATTCATGAAATTGAGAAGCATTTCTCCTCTATCGTTTCTTTTCCCGTAGCCATAGTTACCAATTAAATGTTCATAATCTTCCCCTTTTTGCCCAGTTTAGCATTAAAATCTCCTAATAGTATTTCGTAATCATATTCAGTAGGTATAGTTGCATATAATTTAGTTGAAGATTAAGCATCCCAACAGTTTATAGACACAGCTAAGCAGTGCGATAAGGCTGTTTTAATAAAACTATAATTGAGATCTATTTTAATGAATGGGGAATTTCTCATGATTTTAACATATCTGTATAAAAATTAGCCATAACCATTTCCTAGGATATTTGCCACAGTGGAGAAGAAATTCTGGATGGATTTTATCGGAGCCGGGTGCCTTTCCAGACTTAATCTCTGATATTGCTGAAATAATTTCTTATGGAGTAAACTCGTCAGAATATTCAGATGTAGGCGGGCATGGAGACTTTAGTATTTTTAATTCTTGTTTTACTTTGGTAATGTGGTGACGATCTCTAGGTGCTCTTGAGATTACTACAATGTGTAAGGCTACTTTGTTGGGAGCTATTGGGACTTTGTCTCTAGTTGGGAGTCTGCTACTACCAAGTTTTCTAAGTAAAGGCCATGCTTTTCTGCTTAATTTACCAACGTCTAATTTTTCCACAGTTTTCACCAAATAAATGTTCCGACCAAATTAAGAATTCAGCTGAAAAGTCATTCTGTAGAAACTCATTCTGCGAAGCTCTCAAAGCAGCTGAAGATAGGACCAATGGAGAAAAATTGTTAGGAATATTGAAAGAAATCACGATCCCTAGTAATGGAGAAACGACAAGAGAAAGAGAGAGAGAGAAAGAGAGAGAAAGAGAGTCTTACCTGCATTGTTTAAGCGATTGCAGTCATAGATAAATAATATAGTATATACAGATAGATAGGCAACTCTATATATAAATTTGGTTTATTAGCACCACTGGTGAGCGGAGTCAATACTAATCACCATTTGGCGGGAAATTCAAATGGTTAAGTATTAATTTTATCCCTTTAGCGCCTCTGGTGGGTCATTTCGGTACTAATTAAAATTTAGTGGGAAATTCAAAATATTTTATTATTTTCCAATGGAATAATCTCACATATCGTGAGTGATGTGACAATACCTATCCGCTTTTTCACAAGTTTTGTAAGGAGACGAAAATCTTTATTTATAGGAACTATAACTAAACTTTAAAAACTAAGGAATCAAATAAAACTAAACTGAAAAAACTAAAGAATCAACTAACCGAACTTAAAAACTAAGGAACCAACTTAAATTAAAATTACTAAGATTAAATTACAGACGAAAGTTAAAGATAATTAAATTAAAAATGAAAACTAAGGTATCAACTAACTAAACTTTAAAAACTAAGGAACCAACTTAAATTACTAAGACTAAATACAAACGAAAGTTAAAGATAATTAAATTAAAAATGAAAACTGTAAACAAGCCAAAGCACGTGGAAGACGAAAATGGACGAAACTCGAAAATATACAAATAGATTCTAAAACGATGACAAATATCAATCATCAACTTGTCATTACTTTTGACGGAATTGACATGGCGGAATTAAGCTTCGTTTGATTATTTTATTTCTGACATTCAGAGATGGTGTTAAAATAAAATGATTGGTTAAAGTCTTCGTGCGCGAGATAGGCTGTCATCTCTCTTTATTAACCGATTGGAGTCAAAGTGATGGGGGAAATGTTCAAGGTTATTCATATAAGATTCCAGGCCGTGATTGCAGTCTATTGCTTAGCTTAACTGTGTCAAAGGTGATAATCGTTATGTAATTCTCTAAATTTGCTTTGCCTCATGCTTTATGTAATATATCATAGTAGCGTTGTTCCAGTCTGTGAATATAATTTTGAACTTCTGAATATTTTTCCATTTTTTAGTTGTTTCTCATTTATCATTTTAAGTCTTTCTTTTTTGAACGGTATCGATATTTTTACTCATAATAACCTATGAGGACTGTTTGTACTAATTTGGTTTTAAATATATTAACGTCTTTAAATATTTCATTTTGTTTGTTAAGAAGTAGCCAACTTCGTTCCTTGTGTTTCCATCAGCGCTTGCCCATGTCCATCTTTTGTGGTTTTTCTTTTTAAAAAGCTCTTTATTTGATAGAGATTATTTTCCAAAATGAAAGTTGTTAACAGTTGTTTGCTTATATTAATTCTGTCTTCTCTTCCAAAACTTCTCAATATTATTTCAGGGGTCTTTTTTAATGCCTTTTTTTGGCGTTGGAATCACCACCTATTATTAAGAAGTGGCCTGTATTTTCCTGGATAAATATTATAAGTATAATAAGTAACAAATAAAATAGTGCTTAATATTCGTTGAAGTATAAAGCTTATTTCTCAACTATTTATATATCTTTTAGCTTTTGTTGGGAGAGATGGAACTTACACACGGGTCTGTCCAGGTTGGAGGAAAAATATCATACAGTTCTCAGCAACCATGGCTTTTTCAATCAACAATACGCAATAATATACTCTTCGGACAACCTCATAATAAAAATCGTTATAATCAAATCATTGAGGTTTGTGCCTTAAAACCAGACTTTGACCAGTTTCCGAGAAGAGATAGAACCATTGTTGGAGAAAGAGGTGTTTCACTAAGTGGTGGACAAAAAGCTAGGATTAATCTGGCTAGAGCGGTTTATAGACAAGCCGATATTTATTTATTAGATGATCCATTGTCAGCTGTTGATACCCACGTTTGTAATCATTTGTTTGAAAAGTGTATAAGTCAGTATTTAGCGGGAAAAACGAGAATTCTAATTACACATCAGTTGCAGTATTTACAAAAGGCTGATATGATTGTAGTAATTAATGAGGTAAGTAATTGTATTAATATTTTTTTAATATATTAGTAATATACAATTATTAACTAAATTTACTTAATAATGATATAAGTCACTACTATACAATAATTTAATAATTTATCTGGTCACTATACAAAATAGTTTTGATTTTGATAAGTCAAAAGGAATAATGAAAATTATTACATACTTACTTTATAATACTTAAGTAACATTGACATTGAGTAACAAATTAAAATATTAGAATAAGCAGTAAAATATTTAATACTAATAATTTAAGAAACGACAAACACACCAAATAAAAACATGAAACACATTAAATATTCTTATAATAGACCGGCAAACATCCTGAACAAAACTCACACTATTGAGTAAAACCTATATTGAAAGCAATGTTCAAAAAAGTGTTATTTGATTTTAAGCTTAAACGATAATAAATGTAATATACCAACACAACTAATAGAATATGAGAAAAGACAGCAAATATTTGATTTCACGCAAACAAATCCTATGTATCTCTTGATACGTATTTCGACCTAATAGGTCTCGTCAGAAGAGCTATTCATAGGGGTTCTCAACGTGGAAAAATCAATATTTTCTGCCTTTTAAGAAGCAACAATAACATGGCTTCCATACGGACGCAGTAGCGACATCTAATTAAACAATCGTAAAATAGTTTCGAAACACAATTCAGATTTCTGCTTTATAATCTGGGCCTTCTAAGAATTGCAAGGCAAACAGACGTTGATGAAAGATGTTAAAAGAGACATGGGGAATCTAAAATTTGCATTCCACGACATGTCTTTTACAACTAAGCAGAAATCCTTAGCGAATTGTGTTTCTCGTACTCCCACAGAGTATATCCGAAGAAAATGAGAAAAGGCAGCAAATATTTGATTTCACGCAAACAAATCCTATGTATCTCTTGATACGTATTTCGACCTAATAGGTCTCGTCAGAAGAGCTATTCATAGGGGTTCTCAACGTGAAAAATCAATATTTTCTGCCTTTTAAGAAGCAACAATAACATGGCTTCAATACGGACGCAGTAGCGACATCTAATTAAACAATCGGATATACTCTGTGGGAGTACGAGAAACACAATTCGCTAAGGATTTCTGCTTAGTTGTAAAAGACATGTCGTGGAATGCAAATTTTAGATTCCCTATGTCTCTTTTAACATCTTTCATCAACGTCTGTTTGCCTTGCAATTCTTAGAAGGCCCAGATTATAAAGCAGAAATCTGAATTGTGTTTCGAAACTATTTTACGATTGTTTAATTAGATGTCGCTACTGCGTCCGTATTGAAGCCATGTTATTGTTGCTTCTTAAAAGGCAGAAAATATTGATTTTTCACGTTGAGAACCCCTATAAATAGCTCTTCTGACGAGACCTATTAGGTCGAAATACGTATCAAGAGATACATAGGATTTGTTTGCGTGAAATCAAATATTTGCTGCCTTTTCTCATTTTCTTCGGATATACTCTGTGGGAGTACGAGAAACACAATTCGCTAAGGATTTCTGCTTAGTTGTAAAAGACATGTCGTGGAATGCAAATTTTAGATTCCCCATGTCTCTTTTAACATCTTTCATCAACGTCTGTTTGCAAATGCAAATAACTATGGAACAGTGCAGATAACCACATGGACCAAGACGAAGATAAAGACTTTATCAAAGAAGTCAAGGAATAGCAAGAAATAACCCGAGGAACCAAATGAATCAACCTAACATCGCCATAGGAAATAAATGAATTAATTAAAGACAGTTTTTCGAAGAAGGCTAGCACCTCGTGTAGATAAAATTACAAACATAGCTCTGAAGTATCTACCAGCAAAAGCAATAGTATTTCTGACAAATTTAACAAATGCGATACCTAAATACAGTCTCTTATTAAACCGACAGAAAGAAGCCCATGATCCCAAAGATGGAAGAAGGCTCACGTCATTATGATCTCAAAGCCAGAAAAGGACACCACGTTCCCACAAAACTACAGGCCGATAAGCTTACTTCTAGCAGTCAGTAAAATTGTGGAAAGAGTTATACCATCAGACTTCAAGCAGAGAGAGACCGACTAGGACTAGTCCCAGAAGCTCAGTTCGGATTTAGAGTGGACCACTTCAGCGAGCTACAAGTACTCAGACTATCCGAGTCCCTAACAGCCGGATTTATTAATAAGAAGTGCAAAAAAGCCTTGCTGGATGTAAGCAAAGCCAAGCCTTTTATAGAGTCTGGCATAAGGACTGACTATAAAATGAGAGGCTATGAATACAGTGAAGTCATGATGAGACTTATCTTTTCGTTCTTGGGCAACTGAGGATTAAGAGTTTAAATAGGACGAGTCCTGTCGAATCTGGGAACGCCAGAGGCTGAAGTGCCATCGGGAGTGGTCTTATCTCCCCTACTGTATATATACATATAACCTATATTCCAAGAACACTACGCAGATGACACAGCGATTGCGGCAAAATACAGAAATATCGGCATGGTGGTCAACAACTTGCAGCACTACACAGCATAGAAGAGTGGACTTTACAGTTGGGCAAATTGCCATTAACTCCAAGAAAATACAAGCGATACTCGGGATAGAAAGAAAAGGGAGAACACACAGGAACTGCTAAGAGTGCAAAAGCAATCCTATCGAATGGAAAATGATGCTAACTACCCGAGAGTTATAATGAACCAAGTATACACGTTCAAAAAACACGTAGATATAACGTTATAAAAAGCAACAACAGCTAAAGCTGCAATAAGAGGACTCGTAGAAAAAGCAAACTACGTACTAAAACAAAAATAAGATTGATACATAGCATCATATTGCATATATTGATTGATGATCGAAAAATGCAAAGTTGGGTTCGCTGAGCTAGAAAACCACCCAAGCCCTTGGGCTTGGTGGTTTACTTGGGTGGATACGATGATTAAAGAAACCCAATATTGCGAGAGATAATTAGGTACGATGCGTTTCATCGATAAAAGCAGACGTACATCCAAAGTTCGTAGATCTATAAACATAGATACTCTGTAATGTTCACTAATAAGATTTTATTTTCAATCAAAAAAATATAAAAAAAACTTAAAAAACGGCTTCGACCACCAAAACAATTACAAAACACTAACAAAATATGTAAGCCACAAAAAAAAAAATTAGCAAAACTCCAAAACCCGGGAACGAAGGGCCCACATCCTTGAGCACTGAGTCTCCAAACTAGGCGTAGCAGCTAATACTGTTATTTTTCTTTTTATTGACAAAATTTACCTATTTACCTATTAATTAATTAAATAATTATTTTAGGGCACAATAAAAGCGCAAGGCACATTTAGAGAGCTGTGTGAAAACGATATAGATTTTACAAAATATATGATGAATGGAGAAGAAGACAGTAGTACAGAGATCGAAGAAATCGAATTTATTGAAGAAACAACCGTTTCTAAACGTCCTCTAGATTCAGACATGACAAGTTCCCGAAAAATGTCTAGTGTGTCCCTTACTTTTGTGAGTCTTTTATAATCAAAGTAATCATAAGTAAATTTTTATTCTTGTTAATGTATTGTACAGTATAAAGTTTTCCTTAGTTTTGTATTAGAATGTCTGTATACCATTATCAAGGATTTTTATTCCTGATGGAACATTTGCCTCTCTTACTTAGAGCTCGCAGATTCGCTTATTGCGGTAAATCACTCCGAATTCTTCTTGTCTATTTTCAGAGTTTGTTGTGTGACTTGGCTTTCGTTGCAATTGTCTTCCACTTATTTCCATCTGTGCATAGTTCGCTCTCGTTTCCTCACTTTCAGGATTTTGATATCTCTCATGAACTGGTCCTCTCATTTCTTTCTGGGTCTTTACCTTGGTATCTCGGTTTCTGTCTTTCATCTGGTGACCTTATAAATCAGCTAGTCGTTTTTTCTTCCCTCTATGTCTTCCAGCCATCTCAATTTTTGCGCTTTAATACATCTATCATCCACCATTTCCTTTTAACATGTCTATATTAATAGTTACTTTTTTCTTATTTCTTCGTTGTCTATTCTTATTGGTCCTATAATTCTTCTAACGATTTTTGTTTCGAATATCCCAATTTTCTCAGCTCCGCACGTAACTACTGGTCTGATTGTAACTCTGTATATTTTCAATTTTAAATTTTTGGATAAGTTTTTGTCCTTCATTAGCCTATGATATCTCCAGAATGTTTTGTTGCCTGCTGGCCTGAGTGTTCGCTCCGTTACTTCTTTGCTTCTGATATTTTTGCCATTCACAATTACTCATCATCATTATCAATGGCGCTACAACTCTTCGTGATTCTTTGCCGCGTTTACTATTGTCTTCCATGTTTGTCGGTCCTGTGCCAGCAATTCCCCTTTGTCGCACTCTTATTTTTTCTAGATCTTCTCTGACTGCATCTTTCCACCTTTTTCTAGGCAGCCCTACAGACCTTCTTCCATCTGGCCTTTCCCTGAACACATTGTTTATAAGGCAATTGTCGTTACTGCGTAACACATGTCCTGCCCATCTTAGTCTATTCTTCTTTTTCTTCTGGTAGCACTACAACCCGGGGTGGGTCTTGGCTGACTGCACAACCTGCTTCCATTTCGAACAGTCGTCCATGATGTTTAAGTCAGTGGGTAGCCCCAATGTTCTCAAATCTGACCATATATTATCTCTCCATCGCATTCGTGGACGTCCTAAGGGCCTTCTCCCTGTCGGGACTTCTTTCCAGATTAACTTGGTAACTCAGTCTATTGGCCTTTATATATCTGACTAGATTTTCTTTTCCGAATAGAGACTCTAGCTCGTTATTGTATCTGCCCTTCCCTTCTTTTGTCACGCTGTCTCTGCAAAAGCCATATATCATTCGAAGAATTTTACGTTCCCACACCAGTAATTATTTACTTCTCCTTTTGTTATCGTCCATGTTTCGCTTACATACGCGCTGGTCGTGTTATTGTCTTATATATACGGATCTTTGAACCTCGTGAAAGAAGTTTCGACTTCATCAGATGTTGCATTGCAAATAAAGATCTGTTTTCTGCCATTATTCTCGTTTCAACTTCTCGCTCTAATTTGTTGTCATTTGTGATTGTTGCTTCTAGATATTTAAATTCTTTAACCACTTCGAAGTTGTGATCATTTATAGTAATGTTTTGCCTTATTCGCCGCCGTTCTTGTTTTGAGACGACCATGTCTTTTGTTTTGTCTTCATTGATTTTTAGACCGATGTTTAATACAGCTTCTTCAAAACTCGAGAAAATATCCTTAATTTCTAATGTTGATTGTACTACTGCATCTACGTCATCGGCAAAGGCGAGTATGATTTTTGCTCCCCGAGCAGTTATGTCTGGTTTGATTTATGGATATATTTTTCGCATAACATATTCTAAGACCAGGTTAAACAACAATGGGGACAACGGATCTCCCTGTCTCAGTCCAGAATTTACGCAGAAAGCATTTGATATTTTCCCCCCTGTTCTAACTTGTGCAAAAGAGTTACTTACACACATTTGTGTTACCGTAGCTAGTTTCTTGGGTACGCCGAGCTCGATCATTGCCTTCCATAATGTTGCACGATTAATTCAATCATAAGCCTGTTTGAAGTCTATAAAAATCTGATGCACGTCGTGATTATATTCCAATACTTTTCAAGCATTTGTCTTATTGTAAATATTTGATCAATAGTCGATCTGCCAGGCCTGAAACCACACTGGTAGTCACCAACTATTTCTTGGACGTATGGAACTAATCTTTTTAATAAAATCGAAGACAATATTTCATAATGTAGTGTTGATTAGTAAGATTCCTCTGTAATTCATGCATGATTCCTTTTTCCTTTCTTGTGTATTGGTACAATAATACTACCACACCATTCTTGCGGCATTATTTCTTGTTGCCAGGCCATTTCTATTAATTGATGGATTTTACTTGTGAGTTCATGACCGCCTGTTTACCACAATTACTCACATGTATTTAAATTGTTGAACTTTTTCAAGAGTATAATTTTCTATCTTGATTTCTCTCGTCTAGTTTACTTCTCTTCTAGAAGAGAGCAGATTTTTTTCGTTAATTTCTAGACCTCTTTTCCGTACTTCATTTGCCAATAAATATTTATTAAATATTATAAGTTTTAAGTGTCATTTCAGAGTGAACTATCCGAAAATGCCAATTTTGCTAATGCGGATCCGAATGAAGAAGAAGGAAACGATCCAAATAGTAAATCGTTTAAAGACTATATTCTGGCTGTTCAAAAGATTTGGCTTCTTATATTTGTTCTAATAATAATGATTATAGTTCAAGTGCTTTCTACCGGATCTGATTTTTGGATATTCTTTTGGTAAGTACAAAAATGCGCCATCATTTATTTACTATAATAATTAACTGAAATCCATGTGGTGATGTAAGAATTAACATAATATCAGTTCAATATTATTTTCACGGTTTAAAAACTTGAAATGCCTAGATGCTGGTAGAGGTAGGATTATATTATCAGTGGTACTAAACAACTGAGTTATATTTCCTCCAAAGAAGTTTAAGAGTTTATTATTCCTTCAAATTGCTGCATTATTGCATCATATATTCGCGATGACTTTGGAGTACCGATAATCTATGCAAATTTCCTCCAACGCTATTATTAAGCGGTTAATTTGTTACGTATCATACTTACCTGACAAAAGTCAAGAGAGTGTTTTGTAACATCCCTGACCAGCCCTAATAAACTTGGTTGTTTGTTTATATCGACAGTCACTAATATCCAGTATTTCTTGTATATCTTGTATATATATATATATATATATAATATATATATATTATATATATATATATATATATATATATATATATATATAGGGGAGAGTGGTCTATAGTGGGACACTTTCAAACATTTCAGTCATTCAGGTGCATCTCTTATTTTTTTAACTCTTTGAACGTACACAATCACTGCTTTGGATATCTTCGATTATGTGTCAATTGGAGTTTTAGATAAAGTTAGTAGAAAGGACTGCATAATCATTAACCCAGTATGAACCATTTTTCCCAGTATGGACCAATATTGGTTCATAGTGGGACTACTATTGGTTTATATCGGGACACATATGGTTCATACTGGGACTATAGAGTTGAAGCAGGAGATAAGTAGGTACTGATGGGAAATCAATATTATAAATATTTAAAAAATTATTTATATTAAAATTAACATTACAGAAAGCATTTAAAACATTTTATATGGAGAAAAATCGAACTGGAACTGTAGCTGATTTGCTGAACGTTCCGTTGAACCTATTGCGTTAGGTTTCGGTAAAATCTTTACAATATTATCTTGTTCTATTGTATTAATATCTTCTTTTTCGGGATGTGTAAATGTGTTACCCAATGTTTTATGAAGGAAGGAAATCACATATTCACCGTTAATAACATCTTCAACACATCCAGCATAATGACGAACAGTCATCATCCGTTTCGGATTCTTCACAGCTTGATTGTCTCTTGAACCTTTTTTGGGTAATAAATCGACACTATATATGTTTTTATTTTTTTTAGTTTCTATTTTTTGTAATGCTTCAAACACTTGTTTTGTGACTTTCTGTTTCTTATTTTCTTTTAACTGTTTCTTATTTTGTCTCTGTCTATACTCTTCTTCTATTCTATCTTTTATAGGAGTGTCTGTAAGTACTAGTGATTGCCCCTTCTTTCTTTTGGTGATATTTTTTCTAGGGGGTGTTTTTGGATGAAACCTAATTATTTCAGGTGTTATTAATAGATATTGATACTTTCGAATGAGAACGTCCAGCTACTGGAGGCAAATCAGAAGGTTCAAAATAGGAAGTATTAATTTCATTTGAATCAACGGATATTTTCTCTATGGGAACAATATGAACTTTAGTGGACGACCCGGGAGGAGTGTTTGCTTCACTTAAATTTTGACGTTCTGGATTTGGTAAAGTTGCAACTTCAGACGGTCGATCTGTGACGTAGGACATCATGAAATCTTGTCTGTGAAAATGTTGGAATCCGGCGGACAAATTCCAGTTTTCTGAAAACCTTTTAAAATATTGGTTGGGGTAAAGGCTAAAGGAAATGCTTTACCAACAATTTCACTTATGTTATAAATTGTTAAAGGTGAACCCGGTGATTAATCATCCATTCATCTGATGCTCTATTGTAGTATGACTTAAAGGATCCAAAGCAGGAAATATCCAAAGGTTGCAGCCGATTACTGCAGTGGGGTGGTAAGGTCAATAATACTATGCCACTATCTTTTGCTTTCTTCAAAACATCAACTGCATAATGGCTTTCATGATTGTCTAATATAATCAATATCTTTTAAGCAATAGAGCAGTTAGTATGCTTAATAATATGATCCAAAACTTTCTGAAAATGTGTTCGAAGTCATCCAACCTGTAGGAAAATGCGGAACCACCAGGACCAGGAAGAGCGTGTTGTAACATTTTGGGATAAATTTTTTTCTTGGGAAAATCATAAATGGGGAATAAAAGTACCATTTGCAGATATTACACAACACAGGGTTACTAAAATACCCCGTTCTTCTGAAGTGATTTTTCCGACTTGTTTGCAACCACTTTGCGCTAATATCTTTGGAGGCTTTGTGCACAGTCGTAACTCCTGTCTCGTCTAAATTATAAATATCACTTGCACAAAATTTGTACTGTTGAAGCACTCTTGTTAGATTTTAAAAAACTCACCAACATTGTGTTTGTTAAAGCTTGTCGCACGAGACAAACTGGTAGCATCCGGTGTGCGTAACGTCAACCGAGAATTACGATGTCGGAAATTTTTCATCCACTCACTCCCAGCGGCACCATTTAAATTCCAAGTGTCTGGTATAAACAATTGAATTTGTGATCGCAAAAGAATAAGCCAAAATTCTAGTCTCTTTTTCAGTTAAACCATAGCACATATAAGAGGCATCAAGTAAATATTGTGCCAATATAGCTTCCTCTGCTTCCGTAAAATACGGATTTATACCCATGTTTTTGTGGCAAACTTATACTTTTCTTTTTCGTCATACTGAGAGAGCCTTATATTTTGAAACATGACGCTGTAAAGCCGATTTTGATATAGTGTTTATTGCTGCTGCTTCTCTCAAGGTTTTCTGACCGCTGATTACTTGTAGAACTGCTTCCTTCATCTGGTTTGCCCTTTCCAAGTGAAGTATAGCACTATCTTCGTAACGATCTTGTAGCTTTCCCCTCGCCCACTTGGGCATTGTTAAAAAATCTGTAACAAAATTAAACAATACAAAAATTATCATCCTTACCTAATTGTTTTATTCAATTGGAAACATCGATGTGTTTTACAAGTACCAAAAAAGTAAAAACATGTAATCAGAAACCTACTTTTCAATAAAGACCATCAGAAAAAACCCTTAAAACATGCACTATTTACATGCGTCCCAGTATGAACCACTTTTTTAGATGTCCCAATATGAACCACGTAGATATTTCCCAGTATGAACCATTCCACGAAAAATAAATTCTAACTGATTACTTAAAATAGGCAACACGAATACAAATATTCACTGGCCCATTTACTCTCTAATATCCTAACCTCAAAACATATTAAACAGGGTTTTAAAATGTTTACTAATAAAAAAGTTATAAACGAAATTATTTGACTCTTAATATAGAAATGGCATATATTGACTTACCTTTTTACTAAAAATATTAAATATTTTTCCTAATTATTAGCCGGAAACTGCAAATTAATCACAAACACAACGTGCACGAACATATATGACTCAACACAAGTGATTTGAGATCTTAGACGCAACGTACAAGGTTGCCAGATCAGTTGGCCCACTATGAACCATGTCCCAGCATAGACCACTCCCCCTATATATATATATATATATATATATATATATATATATATAGATATATATATATATATATATATATACATATATATATATATTATATATATATATTAATATATATATATATATATATATATATATATATATATATATATATACAGAATGTTTTTGGACTAATAAGTTCATCATCAGTGCAGATACCTGGAATAAGTATTACATTACCACTTTAATGAAGACACTCACAAAGGTTAAATTTTGAAAAAGGTTAAAGCAAATGTGGTTGAATACATACCAGGTAGGTGAAATTACTAAACATGTGGGTAAAAACCATTTAAATGACAACCAGGATTGAAATATCAAGGCTTTTATGACCTGAATACCAGTTTTATGTAACAGAAACCTGTCAATACATATTCACAAGAAGGTCCGGAAATTTTATGTATAGTCTATCCTTTTATGTCGTTGTGAAAAATGGACAGTAAAAACCACAATGCTTAACAAATTAGAAGAATTCGAATTGTGGTGCTATCGACGGATCCTAAAAATATCATTAGTTCCGCACACTTGCAATGAAGACGTTCTTAAAATGATGACTTCAGAATGCCTGCTCACAAGCATCAAGAGGAGAAAAACAGAATACTCTGGTCATATAATTAAAGGGCACAAATACCATCTGATTTATCTTATAATACAAGAAAAAGTGGAGGGAAAGAAATGGATTGGTCGAAAGAAACTTTTATGTCTGCTTAAAATTAGACAATGGTGTGGTACCATACTAGAATTGTTTTGCGCAGCAGCCGATAGAAACAGGTTTTAGGAAATTGTAAACATGACGACGACCAATATCTTAATACGGACACGACACCTAAAGAAGAAAATACATCAATACACGTATTCAATAAATTCAGGATACCTGAAATGTTAATAAGGCCCTAGCTGTTGTAAAACAAGAGGACTAAGGACTGTTAAGACCTAAAACTTTGATGGTAGATTATATTGTGTACTACCGTAGGTAATTTAGATTTTTTCGGGTAACTCCTCACGGTCAAATACAACATTAACGAGCAGATAATATTTGAACTTAATTCATTTTTCACTTTTTAATTTACTTTATACTTCATAATTAATCTTAATTTTTATTGTGTATCGTAATTGTTTCCTAAGATACCTAAAAGACTGATTTTGTAGATATTTATTAACTTAAATAAATTAAAACTATGTATTTTATTGCTAATATTTTATAATATTCTAGGACAAGTAATGAGGACATTAAAAATTCTGCTGAAGAAATTAAAATTCAACCATTTTCAACAAACACCACTACATATGACGATAACATGTACCTTTACTATACATCTGATAACGAAACATATTCAAATGGTTCTTGGTATGATAAATATTTTGACTATGTTATAAGTGATCACAAACTAAAGAAAATTCTCAAAACTAGATATTCCATATATGTGTACACTGTTATAATTGGAGGAGTTATCGTATTTGTACTTGCGAGAGGCTTTATATTCTATAAAACCTGCACAATAGCTTCTACTAACTTGCATAATAATATGTTCCATAAATTACTTCAAGCTCCGATGAGATTCTTTGACACCAATCCAAGTGGAAGGACGCTTAACAGGTTTTCGAAGGATATCGGGACTATTGATGAATATCTGCCAACTGTTTTGATTGACAGTCTTGGGGTAAGTTTATTTGTAGATATTACTAATAAATTACATCAATCTATCTCTTAATCAATCAATTTGTAAGTTGTTTGTCATCTTCGACTGATTTCTATCCAAAATTTTTTTATTTATCTATTTGTAGCATGTTTCTTATGATCATCAATTAATTTGACCTAAATAAAACATGATCAAAGACGATGCTGACGTACCTCCTTTTACTCCAGGCGTTCATATTGATGATTTGTCTCGGGTATCTAAACTGTATGTACTCGCCATATATGAGAGTACAAGGAAACGAAGCACTTAATCCATACAAGGATCTACAGACCGAGAATTTGGTATACAAATTCCACGGCTTCGCGCAATCGTACTTGTAAGTTCGTATAGTCGGCTGGAGTTACAATTTGCCAAATTTAAATGTAATCGTTTCTACTCATTCATATTAATATTATAATGTATAATATATTAAAGTTTTTAATATTGGTAATATTATTAAAGCTTTTAATACTATTTTTTAATATTAATATTAATATTAAGTAATTAAATATTGCGCCTTGCTTAAAAAAAGTACGAGATAAATAACTCGTTTTTTACATGAAAGTGCAATTTTCTTGCAAATGCCTTGAGAGGGTAAATTTCCAATATAACACCAACCAAAAGACAAAAATATTAACTTAGGTACATGCAATCATTATCACTGCTTAGCGTATTTTCATGGAAATCAACCGCTGTGCTGACTAGTATTTTTTTTAAATTGTGATGAATAAATAAAGTATATATTAAATAAAGGGTATTTGAAATAAATTTGTAATATTTTATGCGAAAAGAAGAAAAGACTCAGTTCCGAGTCGTGAGCGTATTCGTTATATTTTCTTTAATTGTGTTAAGCTACTCGGATGTAAGTCGTTGTTATAATTATTCAAAAAAATGAATTACAATATTTTTTATTAAATCAAATGAGAAATGTTATAGCAAATTAAGAACTAAAGAAAAAAAAAACCAATTTTCATTTCCTAAATAGCAAATTGTTTCTGAACACTTAAGATTAAAACTTCCAAATAAAATTGGATAATATTGTAAAGGCTTTTATATACTGAAATTAAATTAAAAAAGAACCTGAAAAAAGTGGAAAAATAATAAAAAATTCCCAAATTTTAAATATATCTCGAAAACAAAATACGATCTGGAAAAAGAATACGGAAATGTTTAATTTTTTTGAGTTCTTCGATTGTGTAGTACCTTCAATTTCAGTTTTTTTCAACAATACTCGAGTATTCCGATTAAGTACTCTCAGCCTTATAAAAATTTCCAAGAAAATTAATATCGGATGAAGTTTCAACAAGCGAAATGAAAATCCTAATATTAAAACAGCATTATGACCAAGTACAATATCTGACTGTTATGCAAATTAGTAGGTAATTAGAATTAGAAAGTCAGTATGGGCAAAACCAGCTTATTCAAATTATAGGTACCTACTTTAGTCTTGTATTGAAGTATTTTAATTTATTACCCTTAGCATACGTAAAGATATAAAAAACGAGTTATATTTATCTCGTACTTTTTTTAAGTAAGGCGCAATATTTAATTACTTAATATATATTATTAATATTAAAAAATAGTATTAAAAGCTTTAATAATATTACCAATATAAAAAACTTTAATATATAATATACATTATAATATATAATATGAATGAGTAGAAACGATTACATTTAAATTTGGCAAATTGTAACTCCAGCCGACTATACGAACTTACAAGTACGATTGCGCGAAGCCGTGGAATTTGGATGCCAATTCTCGGTCTGTAGATCCTTGTTTAATCCATCAACTATCCGCAGCAAGATGAATCACTTTTTAACGTTGTGTATTTCTGGGAAGTGCCAGTAAAGTTTGGAAACAAATGTTATTGCTACAAATACGAGACAAAAACCGAAAAATGCAGTTTTTTAGTTTAGAGTATATTTCAGTCTGAAAATGACCAATCTGACCCTTCCATTAGAAAAAAGGGAAACATAGATAAAACATCGATCTTAATTCAAATGCAGTTGAGGTTATGTGCTAAAAACATGGGGAAAATAAAAAAAAGAGATTTTGTCTTATTTTGGGCATCATCTAGTCTAAAAATGCAAACGTGATCACGCTATTAAGATAAAAAATATAGCAATAGCCGCTATTTATTGACATATAGTTAAATTTATGGGCTAAAAAATTGGGAAAACTAGCAAAAAAAGGTTTTTTTTTTTTTTGAATTTTCAGGATTATCCGAAGCGAAAATGAACCTACCTGAGCCATTTGGAACAACGGAAAAAGTACACAAAAAATAATTATTTAAAAATTTGCAAAAAATTACCTACATAACCTATTTTTTTTTAATTCAATTATTTTTATATAAAATATTAGGTATATTCATAAATTTTTGCAGATTTTTTAAAGAAAAGTAAAGTAAAGTAAAAAAAAAACGGGTGTGACAGTCCAGTGAGACTGCCGGTAGAAGTTATAGTTCAATACACGCGTTCGCCGTTACAAACTTATATAGGAGTCAATCTGCACAATCGTTACATATTTAATGCTATAGGTAAGAGAGAGCAGAAGAAGAAAACATAATTAGGTATATGGTGTATCGTTTGCTGTATATAAACATTTAACGTGTAATAGGAGTATAGTAAATGAAGGATGGTATCAATATTTTAATGAAAATATATATTTTTATTTTCATATATGTATAAAAAGGAATTGAAATGCAAAAAAATTACACATACTCTGCAGTAAAATTCATTGTTTATTTTGTTATTAGTATAAACATTACAATACAATACAATGCAATATATTTCAATGCAATATTCATAAGTATTTAAAACTGCCAATATACATAACTTATTTATACGAAGATAAAAATAAAAAACCAACAACTCCAATAGCATTTTTGCATATGTTGCATATATTTAATAAGATTAACGTGAGGTTTTTATATATTTCAAAGATAAAAAAGGAAATTAATATTGGGATTCGAACTCACATACACCATCGTATGAACCAAACACGTAAAAGATTTGCCAATTAGACATGACACTAACGGATTTCAAATTATAACAGTTCTCGTCATACAGTGAATATTTTAAAATACACAAGCCTAAAATAATTATGAACATTTAATAAGAATACAAAACATATCACATAAATAATAATATTAATATATATATATATATATATATAATATATATAATATATATATAAAATTAAATATATATACAAAAGGAACATTTTTATTCTCGAGAGGAGAAAGAGAGAGAGAGAATATATCTTCTGTCTCTCTCTTACTCATTCTTACATATGTAATGGTTTCACAGATTCACTCCCGTACAAATTTCCAACGTAGAGCGCGCGTATAGAAGTATAACTTCAATAATCTGCACTATTTATAACTGATTGTTGTATAACTGTTGGTTGGTACCAATTAGGCATTGGAATTTTCGGTGCAAGGAGAAGTTTTGTACTTCGTAGTGTTGTAAGCTACAAAAAACCATTTAGACGTAGACTTTCTTGTGTTCGAAAAAACTGTACTGTACAATAAAACTGTACAAATAAAGATTTTAACTTCCTTTAAATACAAGTTCATAGGATTTGTCACAGCATGTAATGCGCAATGGTTAGTTATCGCGCCTATTAAGCCATACAAGAATTAGCAAAACATATATGAACCTTGTGATCCTAAAAATATAGTTGCTATCTAAATTAGACAAGAGGTGAAAGTATCATCCTGGTGCCGAATGATGTGGATCGATTCTCATGACGGTGCCAAAGCTTGGATTGTTAATGTTGACTTAATGAGAAAGCTGAAAGGTTTTTTAGGATGTGGCTCTTTGAAAGTTTGAAAATATAATGGACCGATCATATTACGAACGAAATAATGTTACACACAATGGAAAGAGACAGAAACTTTTGACCGCCATTAACAGAAGAAGGACAGCATATTTGTGGCACATACTTAGAAATGAGAAGTACGACATTTTGCAGATAATTATGAAAGGTGAAGTCGAAGTGAAAGGGGATCCTGGTTGACGACAATATCCTAACTGAAAAACTTTCGCGACTGGACCAGGTTAAAAACGCAGATGCTTTTCAGAAGATAGAGATGAATTTGCAGTGATTATAGCCAACCTTCATTGATGGAGTCGAAAAAAAGATGAACATCTTTAGTTGAAGATAAGATACCTTAAATAGAAGATGTCCATTGTTATTTTTCTTTCCGAAGCGCCAATATCTGCATCTTAAATAGTTTTATCGAACTCCCATATTAAAAATGTCTAAGGAGCACCATTATTATTCCACTTTTTTCAAAAAAACTTTCTTTTTTCTCACTTTTTCTTTGATTATTTTATCTTAAGAAAATCATAATATACTAAAATTAATTCTTTAACGCTCTCTGGTAGCTACCAAGCTGAATTTATTGTTCACTAATACGCATTATACCGGTATGTCACTTTTTAAATCCAATAAAAAGTGATGTATATGAAAAAAAAAAAAAAACTTAGCGTTCCTTAGAAATTTTTGATGTGTTTATTTGACTTGCAAATTTCCAAATTATACTTTACGATTTTCTTTGTAATGTCTCTTACTTTTGTCGTTTACTCCACAGACCTGTAAACTGTTATTCAACAAAGCAAATAATAAGCAATAATTAAACACATGATCTTAATGAACCTTATTAAGTTACAATTTTGTCTTCAATTTTTTAGATATTACTGACTGCTATTGGTATCTTCGTAAACATAAGTATTTCAAATCATTACGTAACAATGGCATTATTTGTATTAGGACCGTTGTTCTTAATATTTAGAAGTTACTATATTTCTACAGCCAAGGTGTTGAAACATTTAGAGGGAATAGGTAAGTCAACAATACACTACCAAATGAACCCTTTGTAACCTTTAAAGTAATTTTAAAAGATTATAACATAATAATAATGTCAATTTAAAAAAAAAATCGTCTATATCTCCATTGTCATTATTTATTAATAAATTAACTAGTTAATAGTTACCACTATTATAGTTTTATTCGTTACTATATTTTTCGAGAGTAAACTGCAATTATAATTATTAATATTTGATATTGACGTTTCATTCTGTCTTCTTCTTTTCAAGACAATATTGTCGCCCAAGTTCTGAAGCGGGTCTTAGGGGGGTTTTCGATTCTTCAATTTGGCCATTGTTAGTTCTATATGCTTTCTTGCTATCATCTAGTATTTAGTCTCTTCCTCTTTATTTCACTCATTTTTGCTTTCCGATTATACAATCTCATCACTGTGTGGTTCACAATATAAAGTGTGGAAATAATTCTCCCAAGTTTCTGTTATTACTGTTTTTGTATCTACTTATTTATTAACTTTTTTACGGTTTCATAGCATTACCCATATCTTTTTTTGATCTACATATAAATAATGTTTCATATCTGTAGAGTATTTTTTTTCAGAATTGTATTTTAATTATCTGGATTTCTGTGTTTACTCTATTTTTATCAGTTTTATATAATTATTATAGGTTACTGTTTTACTTCATATTTGAAGAAAAGCTCTTATCTCTGCTGCAAGCGTTTTAATATATTTGTTAAATCATGGTTTCATGTTGATCTTTCCATTTTTGGTCACTTTTCGTTTCTCTAGTGCCTCCTCCGCAGCTGTTTTTATATTATTACTAAATTTTATCTAGGTGCTCTGGACATCGTCTTCCTCCAAAATTTTGTTTTCACCAATTTTCGTCTTTTGTCTTTTGGCTTGTTGTTTATTTTTCTGTGTACATAGCTTCGTATTTTAGCGAATACTAGGCCGTGATTGGTTCCTGCGTTTGTCAACTCTGCGATTTGTTGTTTATATGTATAAAAAGTAATATTAATTTGAGACTCATTATGTGCGCAGATTTAGATAAGTTGTTCACCACGATTATTTAAAGTTTCTTCTTAAATCTGTTTTTAATGCCTTCGATAATTTCGCCATCAATCGTTGCATTAAAATTTCCAAGAATCGTCACTCTCTCTGAATTCGGTAGTTGGTTAAAGGTGTCGTGAAGTTCGTCGAAAACAAATCTCTCATTTTCTGCGATTTGTTTGTATCAGGAGTATATACTTACTATATTGGTCCAAATTACTGCATTGTTTCTGCCCGTTTTTGTACATGTCTTTTAGTTATTTTAAGCCGTATTTCATGGGTTTCGATTTTCGCACGTTTTTAAGTCTAAGAGCAATATTCACAGCAAGTGGAAAATTTGACAAGAATTAGTAACCAAGTTATAATTGCTGATTAATATCCTGGAATAGTTGCCATAAAATAATGCTTTTGTTTTCTTTTCAGCGAAATCTCCGGTATATTCCCATATTAACTCTACAATCAACGGTCTTGCTACTATAAGATCCAGCAATTCAACCAATTTATTAATAGGAGAATTTGATGACCTACAAGTAAGTAACTGTAACATCAAAATCATTTCTCCTTCATGAGATTTTCTCCATAAAAAAAGTTTTTTATTGAAAAAACACTACTAAAAAAATTTATGGACCTCTTTTGGTAATAAAGAAACAAACTATCCCTTAAATAAGTTACATCCAATATCAAAAACATTTTCATAATCAATTTTGTTATAAGGCATTGGTACCACCCCGTACACTGTATACCTTGATGTCACCACAGGAAAATAATCAAAATTGCATTACAAATCATCTACAATTTATACTAACTGTAACGCTGTTATCGTATATCCGTACACCGCCACCTAAATTTGATTTCCACTATAGTACACTTACGTTTATATGGAAGGATATTAAGGGATCTTATACGGAAGAATACTGCAATAACAGGAAAAAAATAAAAGATGATTCAGGACTGGCAGATCTTATGCATATAATATGTTTGATAAAGCAGGTCATGGTAAAAAAAAGACAACAAACAATTAAGTACACATAATTTTTATTGATATGCAAAACACCTACGATACAGTGCCAATAACAAAACTTTAGGAAGTACTTAATATATTTAATATAAATCAAACGCTCATAATGGTACTACAAAACTTATATAACAGGTCAACATCTCGAATTAAAAGAGTCAACACAGTATCATCTGTATTTGCTGTGCTCAAGATTGCTGTATTTCTTCAACACTGTTAAAATATACTACGGCTAGCAATGCTAGAAATGAAAATACAAGGAGCGTTAGTAGAGCTAACTCAAATGTGTCTGACACTCATACGTACAGGTAAAGATATGAAACAGAACATCGATACCATTTAGTATAACGTCAGGATATAGTCAAGGAGACTTCTTATCACCGTTGCTATTTAATTTGCCTAAGAATATTCAATAAGTAAAGTATTGTCTACACTGACAGGGGATTTGCAAATCGAGGATAAAACTATTCTTGGTCTTTGCTGACGATCAAGATGCAGACTTCAGAAAGGTGTTTTTATAATTCGAAGAGCAAACAGGGAGTTTGAATCTTCGAATAAATGAAATATATGCTAGTGATCCAAAATCCAAGACCAAGAGTTATGTAGAACATAACTATTTCTGTCCATAACTTCGAAGTAGTAAAATAGTTTAAATATATGGTGACAATGACAACCTCATAGAAAAATATGTCTCGGCAAGGATAGATGCAGGAAATAGAGCTTTATACTCCCTATCATCATTATTAATATTCAAGCTGCTAAAAAGAAAATCTAAATTAAGACTGTACAAGTCAATTACTTTACCAGTTGTTACATGTGCAAGTGAAACACAAACTCTAGATCGGCGGGAAATAAATAAGACTCTGTCTGGCACTGAAAACATCGTCAAACATATAAAAGCTAAGATGGATAGGTCGTGTGATAAGATCAGAGAAAGACAGAGTTCTAAAAATAGTGTTTTTTGAAAGACCAGACGGTAGAAGATCAGTGGGCCGTCCCAGAAAAATAGGGAAAGATGATGTTGAAGCCAATTTACCTAGAATTGGGGTGCAACAATGTAGGGCTATAGTGGATACGGCAAAAACTCACCTCGAGTTGTAAAGTAACTCAAGAAGAAAAATATTTGAATTAGACATAGCAAAAGAATTACATATCTGGAAAAAAACTGCCTTGGTATGGCCATAGAATTAAATAATACCTGCCTACATACACTACAATTTGCAAGTGATCAGGAATAGCAAATGATAAAAAAGATATGCAATACATGATAAGAACGTTGCCTAAATAATATCAGACATAGGGTCAGGCATAGCAAATCTTTTACTAGATAAGAACAAGGAGATAGAGACTGTTGATGAAAACAAATATCTAAAAACAATATTTAATCGAGAAGCATTACTTGATTATACAAATGACCAAGGAATTAACAACAGAATACTACAAGCTAGAAAAGCTATAGGATGCCTAAACTTAATTCTCTGGAACAAGAATATAACACAAAAGGTAACGTTTAATATCCCGGTAACTCTAGAAAAAGTTATGTTATTAAACGGATGTGATCACTATTAACAGAGAGGGAAACCGAAGAAAAATATAATCAATGGAAATGGATGTAATTAGGCAAACGCTAAGAATTTCGAAAGGGAGAAAAAAAATTAAGAAATCAGGAAACGCATGGAACGAAAAGATACAATATTTGATAAAGTATAACAAAAGTAGCTCATATTGTACGGGTATGTACAGCGAATCGAAAACATTAGACTTCCTAAACAAGTACTCATATGGACAGCTACAGGAAGACAAAAAAAAGAAAGAAAGAAGAAAATATGAATGAAAGAATTAAAAAAAATGGAACAACAGACAATGGAACATCAAACGCAAATGGAAATTGGGCATCGGACAACGTCGCAAGATGTTCTGAATACATTGTATGCTCATATATATGTTGCTTCTAGAATGCAAGAGGAAATTCCTGTTGTAGACAACCCGTTTATAATAATATATACATAATTTTAACTTATTACGAATAAATTGGGTGATATAATAATTAAACGGAAAGTGTCAAAAAATTTTTTTCTTACATTCTTTTTACTGCTTATTTTTTCAATTTTTGTGAACTAATGTGTCAAATAATATTTTTCAGAATACGCATACACCGACATGGTATTTATTGAATGCTTGTTCGACTTCATTTGGCCTCTGGTTAGATATACTATCACTATTGTTTACAATTAGTATTACAATTAGCTTTATTGTGTTGCACAACGGTGAGTACAATTTACGAATTTTACTGGGAATAATGCACAATTTTACTTTAAAATAAGATTATTTTTGACGTTTAGATTTACACTTCAAAAATCATTCTTTAAATACAATAAGAATTACTGTAAATATTAATCATTCTCAACAGTAAGTATATGTGTATCTATTAAAAAATAAAGAACGTGAACAATTCGGACATAAACTGGAAGAAGATAGCAACAGTGACCAAAAGCTGTTCTACAGACACCTGAAGAAATAAGAACACACAAAATCATGAAATATACAGCATTAAAGATAAACAATTGAGAATTAATAATAAAAACAAAACAAATAGTTAAAAAAAGGAAAACAAATTAACGGATATAAACCAAGACGAAATTAATGAAATGGTATATTTGGAAAATATACCATTTCACACAAAAAACTCAATAGATGAGAAAGAACTAGAAGGTGCAATAAAAACGTTAAAGTATGGAAAAGCACCTGGAATGGGTTAAAAGCAGAAATAAATAGCAGAGTAGAGAAAATGATACAACTGTAGTCATACAACGAACAAAAAATTTATATGCAGAAAAGAAATGAAAGTTTATATACCTATTCTGACTTTGGCAGCGAATCATCGTGGATACTTACTCAACGACAAGAGAGCAATATGTAGGCTATAGAGACAATGTTTTTAAGAATAGTTAAAGGTGCTACCAGATTGGATAGAATAATTAACACAGATATGACAAATCTTGTAGTCAGGAAAGATATATGCGTAGGAACAAGATCCATAGACCAGGTAATGGCCTATAAATATCTAGGTCATGAGATCCACATAGAAAAAGATAACCAAACCGTTGAGCTTCTCCGTCGTATAAGACTGACTTGGGCTGCCTTCGGCAAGCTGAACGATATTTTCAAATCGTCTGATATACCAATATGCCTTAAAAGAAAAACCTTTAATAAGTGTGTTTTGCCAGTGTTGATTGGTGATACGGTGCGGAAACGTTGACCATGACAAGGAGAACAGTTCAAAAGATCCGTGTGTGTCAAAGAGCGATGAAGCGTGCTATGTTGGGCGTTTCACTATGAGACAAGATCCCAAATTGCCAGCTACGACAAAGAACAGGAGTGGCTGATGCAGTAGAGAGAGTAGCAACACTGAAATGGAACTGGACAGGTCACGTGGCTCGAATGACAGATAATAGATGGACAAAGCGGATACTGGAATGGAGACCAAGGAGATGATGCCTATCAAAGCAGAGGGCGTCCACCAACACGTTGGACTGACGATCTAAAACGTTGTCATAGGAATTGGATGCAAGAGGCACAAGATCGAAATAGATAAAAAATTATGAGGGAGATATATGTCCAGCAGTGTATAAGCGAAGATTGAATGATGATGATTATAGAACAAAGACAACTGAGTTCGTCTGGTCATTCACACCAGATAAAGATACTAATACTAGTGAGAAAGGCATGAGAATCAAAATGATTAAAAACAAACAAAGAAAGATCAAGACAGGCATAAGATGAAGCGATAGGAAAGATATTGAAGAGAAGAGAAGTGACTTTGACATGACAGGCTCAAAGATCTTGATACGAGAACCGCAAATAGTGGAAGACATTTGTTAGGAAGTAAACTAAGCCTTACACCATTCTATGGTAGAAAGGTTTTTAATTATATATATATTAACAAATATCACAACCTCGTTATTAAGAAAAATATTTCGGTATTAGTGAAAATCGTCAGTCTTATAATTTATAACTAGATAAATTCAATAAAATAACAAACATATTTTCTTTTTTAGTTTCCGTAGTATCAGGTAGTTTAGTTGGTTTAGCGATAACACAGTCAATGAATCTGACTGGTATGTTACAGCATGCAATTCGACAGTATTCTGAACTTATAAATCAACTAACCAGCGTCGAAAGGGTTCTTCAATATACTAAATTAGATAAAGAAGGACCATTTAAAACTTCTCCAGGTTGTATTTATTTTTTTATCATTAGTTTAGTGTACATGTATAATTAAATGCAAAGTAATGAAGATAAATGCCCAAATACAAACACATACGATGCACTGTCTGTTTCAAGATTACTTGTTTTCATTTTGATTCGTTTTGTAAATGCTTATATTATTTATACTTCAAACATTTCGTTTTTATAAAACAACAATTTTTATAAAACGTTGAAAAGTTTGAAGACCTTGTGACAAATGACCAAATGAAATAAAATAGGAGCAGATAAAAATGGTGTGCATTGCTTTTTTTAATTCAAATTACACAAATATCAAGGTGCTGAAACTACTTTCTTGTGGCATGTTCATCGAGCAAAAAGACAAAAGAGGGAATCTAATCGTTATAAAAAGGAGACCAAAAAAGTGGTCTCTGATGGCGGACATATCCGGAAATGCGAATGCGCCAAATATAAATTTTCCGACACTTATTAAAAGTACCTATAAAATAGTTTTCAGAATGTGTTTTAAACGAGAAAGTTTTGATTAAATATTACCGATAACAGTCTAAAATGAGAAACAATTGTTAAAAAACTTCAATATAAATAAGATTTCATGTGACAGTTGGGACAAACAATAACATAACCCAACTAAATTTGATTTCTTAAACAAGAAAGACTCTCTTTCCTTATTTAATTTGGCCTCTCAAGATGGCACTTCCTGTCTAACAATATTTTTGCCCCCACTACCTTTACATTCCCCCTTTTGTCTTTTTGCTCGAAGGACATGCTTAAGGGAAATATTATGTTTTTAATATTATGGGATTAAGCCACAACTGTTGGTTGTAAATATGATGAAAATCACATATTTTTAATTAACCAATATTTGACATTTCGTTTAACACATAAATGTATTATTTTACTTATTTCAGACAAACTTCCAAAAGAAAATTGGCCCACACAAGGTAAAATAGAATTCAACGATGTTTCTCTCAGATACGCCGAAGAGGAGACTCTCGTTTTACGAGAAATCAGCTTTCAAATACCAGCTGGATGTAAGGTAACTAATTTTATAAATTGTTTAATCTTAATGCTTGCTTAGGAAAATGATTTTAATAGTTAACTTTAAGAAAGATTATGTAAGTGCTATCGCGTTCACTTTAAATGATCTAGCAGAAGATGCTTCAGGCCCTGTTCAGAAAACAAAAAGGCTAATAAAGTAGTTTACAATTTAAATGGATCTGCTACCTAGACCTGAATACGATGATGTATCAGATCGAGCTATAGATGAACAGCAGGCCAAGAGATGAGGGCTTGTGGCTCAGTGTTACTCCTTCATATATCTCTCTCCAAAGATCATTTATGCTTAAAAAATCAAAGTATCGATAAATAGATAGATAAAACTGTTTTAGACTATAATAATATACTTAATTACTTGTTTATTTCCCTCCATTTTTTTCGGTTCCTCGCTTTTTCTCTCCAATCTCCCACACCTATTTCTGATAAGTCTTGTTTTACTGCTTCCAACCATTTCTTCTTTGATCCTCCTCCTCTTTTTCCTCATCTCTTCCTCCTTCAGTATAGTTTTAACATTTCTGTTCTCTGATATTAGTTTAATCTGACCAAGCTAACTATTTGGTCTTGTATTTGTGCCGTAATTATTGGTTTTCCAAACTATTTCTGCTAATAATATATTTCGACGCTTGATTATTTCTCTACACTTCTCATGTTATTATTAAGAATAATCTTTAAATCCAATTAAAAAAATTGTTATGTTTACATTTTTAGATCGCTATTGTAGGACGCACTGGTTCCGGAAAGTCTTCCCTAGTAGCAGCTCTATTTAGGTTAGCGCCCACAGAAGGAGTTATAAAAGTCGACGATATTGATACTAAAATGATTGGATTAACTGATTTAAGAAAAAAAATATCAATCATTCCTCAGGAACCTGTATTATTCTCGGCGAGTTTAAGACATAATTTGGATCCGTTTAACGAATACGATGATTCAGAAATATGGACGGCATTGGAACAAGTAAGTATATTTACGCAATATTTTGTTTTATGAGTTACTAAATGATCCTCTGACCCCTAAAACGTAAATGCAAAACTAGACTAATATAGAAATACATTTTGGAGAATATCTGCACCAATATGGAGAAAAAGTGTAAGAAATAAAAGGGTATATACGATGTGGAAAGACAAGCGTACAATAGTTAAAACCTTATAATGTTTAGTCTTGTGAAGAGAATAGAGGAAGAATATCTTTACAAATCCTGAGACATTAAAAAAGAAAGCTATCAAGGACTAGCTGGATAAACGGAATCAGCTTAAAAGGTTTTGAACTAGAATGTGCTTATATACTTAGTATTTGATCTGCTATTTTATATAAAATGTGTTGGTAGTTTTTGTACAAAATTTAATACTGAACTGAAGGTTTCATGACTTTGATTATCTTCTAAAATGGAAATATAATAAAACCATAGGAATCTAACTATAATTATTTAGGAATGATATTAACACCAAGTTGTCGTATAAAGCTCATCTAAAAAAGCGCCAGAGTTTGGCAAAAGTGGCGATTCACACGGCTTGGAGTAGTTTAGTGTCTAAGGCCGAAATATCCTTTTTGGTTAAAGTAACAGTGTATAAGTCAGTGGTAAGATCGATTTTGACTTATGGGTCTCAGGTATGGGGTATTTTGAGTACGATGAGGTGGAAATAATCAGAAGATTTTATATAAAAAAAATGTTTTCTTGTCCAAGGTATTGTCCTAACTTTATGTTAGATTTGGAGACAGGTATTGCTAGAGTCAGCCTATATACAATGAACTTACATAAAAACTATGTTAAAAAAATACTAGGATATACGAATGATAGGATGCCAAAATTTCTTTTGAAGGAAATGATGAGAGAAAGGTGTGGCTGGTGGAAAGATTGGATAAGCATGGGAGAAAAATTTGGTATTGAGGTTAGGTGTGAATGGGAATGGAGAGATAGCTGGCCTAGTATGATTGAGAATATGATAGAAAAGAAGAAGGAGGAGATACAGCGTCAGGCTGAGAACAGGGCACTCGAATCAAATTTTTGTGGACACTACAAAGAATTGCGGGAAGAAGGAGTAAACATGCATTACCTACTGGAAATGGAAAATTTTGGGGATATTCGATGGCTCTTTAAATTAAGATGTGGGGTTCTATATTTGAATGATCGACCTGGCAGAAATGATGAAAGAAGATATTGCTCAATGTGTAACACGAAGGAAAGGGAAGATGTGATACATTTTTTGGGAAAATGTTCGGTGTTAAGACATATTAGGTTAAAGTGGTTGGGTAGATATGAACTTAGTAGAGTGGAAGTAGTTACTATGATGAGACAGGGCAAGGCTGAGTTAGCAGGTTATTGTAGGGAGGCATGGGTGTATAGGTATGAGTTAGTGAGCCTATTTAACTACTAAATCTATTAGCGTGGTGTTATATTAAAATTAGGATTAATAATTTGTTTGCTTATATCTATTATCTTTTATATCTATCTGGTCTATCTTGAGTAATATTGTTATTATTATTGTTACTATTATTATTGTTGTATCTGCAGCTTTCACTCTCTCAAAGGGATATTCAATATTTTCAATTGTAATCTATACCTCACTGTTATACATTGTTATTATTGTTAAGTCTATTGCGAAGTGTTACTTAGTAGGATATATACATTTAGTTTATTACTAACATTTATATGAATATTTACATAATTTATTTTTTATTTATTTTAATGGTCTTGTTAGATAGAATAAGCCTTTGTTTAAGTGAAATCGTAGGCTTCCACGGCCAGAGTCAGAATTATAGTTTATTCGTCTTCCGGGTTTGGACCGTGTCATTTGTGAGTGACCCAAAAGTGGGTTCATCTCGACGTTTCGCTACAAGTGTATGTAGCTTCTTCAGGAGAACAAAGAAAAAGAAAAAGAAAAAGAAGACAGGAAGATGGGTAGTTAGCAACGGTAACTCAGTTACTCAACGCAACCAGAGGCGAATACTAACTACCAAGATGAGCATTTGGTCACAGTAACTCAACTACTCAACGCAGCCAGAGGTGAAAACCAAATGCCAGGACAGGATTCACGTTCAACAGCTCAGAACACTAACGCGTCGAGAGGCGGGGATTCACTCCCCTTTTAATTTTTTGTATATTAATTAGGGAATATTTGTTTGCCAACCCTCCTGATGGCATGTGCCAAGGAGAACAAATGTCACTAAAAGTATTGCATTGTATTTTTTTTTTATATTGAGAAATAAAAGGCATTATTGATTGATTGATTGATTGAAACCATAGTGTATTATATGGTAGATCAACGCATATTGTACTCATTCATTGTTTTTGTTGCAGGTAGAACTTAAAGACGTAGTGGACTCATTAGATTTTATTGTCTCTGAAGGTGGTAGCAACTTTAGTTTAGGCCAACGCCAACTGATTTGTTTGGCACGGGCCAGTTTAAGAAACAATAAAATTCTAGTTCTAGATGAAGCTACAGCAAATGTAGATCCTAGGTAAGATGTTTATGATTAGAAGTATAAATATTGGTAAAAGAAGTCCAAATTGCCAAATTTTTGTCCAAAAATATTTTGCAGCATTCATTGAGTGTATTTTAATTGAATGTTTAAAATGTACAAAAATTCGTAAACAATTATTTATTTCACCCGGTCAGAACTATCTTCTTGCAAACAATTGGATCTTCAACAATGGGAAAGGTGACGATTAAAATGCGAGGAAATGTGGCAGAAGCTGTACTAATATTTACAAAAATTAGTATTAAACTCACCAGGCTTCCGGGTTGAATTACTGCGCCGAGCTTTCGACATCCTTTCTGATGTCTTCTCGAGGGCTTCCGCAGGCACAGTTTCCAGAAGCGCTAGACACTACTACACTGATTATTAATCACTGCACTACTACTAGTGATGCTGCTACAGCTACAATATCTATGGCTTCTCGGATAATTATTGGTTTATAGAAGCAAATGGGGGCTATAGCTATTTAGTTTTCAACGGCGTATAATAGCATCCGCTTACCTTCGACATGGAGACCTCTCATAAAGATAATATCCACCGATCGACCCTCCAATCAAAATCTCGCCGTCAGAAATATTCGCGCCAACCCCCACCCAAACCACGTCACCATCAAATGTATAAATGAACCATCCGCTGTTTTCAGTAGCGGTAGTGCAGTGATTAGAATTATATCATTTCATAAATTTGCTTCTCACTCTATATTATTTTGAAGGCAGCTAAAATAGCATTTGATCTATTATTAGAATGTATAACAATACTTTTGTTTTAGAACGGACTCCTTTATTCAAGCTACAATCCGAGAGAAGTTTCAAAATTGTACTGTAATTACAATTGCTCATAGGCTAAATACGATAATGGATTCGGACAAAGTACTCGTAATGAACTTTGGAAATATAGTGGAATTCGATCACCCCTATAAACTGTTGCAGATACCAAATGGGTATTTTTATAATATGGTTCAAGAAACTGGTTCAGTAATGGTACAGCAACTAAAGGAAAAAGCTTATGAGGCCTATTTAAACGGCAGTTTTTGAAGTTTTTATAACTAGACTCCTAAAATAGGTTGCACTGTAATTAAGCACAAAATATAAGATAGAGTTTTGTATTATGTAAAAAATAATAAAGTTTAAAGTAAAATAACAAAATAATTTATTATTAAATACCAGTATTTTAGTGGTTAAATAAGTGACAAAAAAATATCTGGTTTAATTACTTTACGTTTTCCCACAAAAAATTAAGAGGCTAATCATTTAGACAAGATAATATTCCTGAAGAAGTTTCGACACCATTAGAAGAAGGTAGCTTACTTGTTTATTACTAAGAGTTACAATAGACCAAAACTACGAACAGGCTCTATCGAGCTACATCACAGAACCTTTTCGGAAAGACTATTTCATCATTAGTGCTATTCTAAAATAAGTATTTTAACATGAAGTCAGCATCATAATGGGCGATTTCAATGCAAAACTTGGAGCCGAACGGAAAACGCCTCTAATCGGACCTTTTGGGTTAGGACAAAGAAACGAAAGAGGTGACAGACTAGAAATATTCGCAGAAGATAACAAGCTCGTGGTTCTGAACACATTATATAAACTACCACCGAGGAGATTGTATACATGGAAGGCACCAGCAGATAAACCCCATAACGTAATTAGAAACCAGATAGATTATATATTGGTAAATAGAAGATTCAGAAACAGTTTTAAATCTGTCAAAACATATCCAAAAGCGGACATTGAATCTGACCACATACCTTTAGTGGGAGTCATGGATGTGAGACTGAAGACAATAAAGAAAAAGTCTAGACCTAACTAAGACATGACAGCCCTGCAACATCCGGAAGTTAAAAAGCAAGTGGGGGAATATATTAACAACCAAGTTAAACAACTAAAAGAAGAAAATAACATCCAACGAGAAATCAATCAATTCGAAGAAATAATTAAGAAAACTAAACAAGATCTGCTAAAACTAAACAAAGAAACAAAGAAGAAATCTTGGATGACTCCAGAAATACTTCACTTAATGGAACGCAGAAGGTTAATTAAAGGAAATAAAGATGAGTATAAAAAATGCAGGCTTACATCAGAAGAAAAATAAGAGAAGCTAAAGAAAAAGAAGCTGTAGAGAAATGTAAAGAAATAGAAAGACTACAAGCCAAGCATGACAATTTTAATGTACACAAAAAGGTAAAAGAAATAACGGGTAGGTACTTTTAAAAAGCGAACACAAATGAAACTCATAGACATCAATGGAAAATTAATCATTGACACCCAAGAGATGAAAGACAAATGGAGAATATATTTGGAGACACTTTTTCAAGATCAAAGAACGGATTATAGGCATCCATTTTCAGAGAGGATGACGGGTCCGGAAATACTTAAATCCGAGGTAGAAGAAGCAATAAAACGGATGAAAAGCAGGAAAGCTGTAGGGTCTGATAATATCGAAGCTGAATTTTTAAAACTCTTGGAGGAAGAAGGAATAATTTGGATCACGGCTATCTTCAATAAAATATACAATACAGTAATCATCCCTGATAAATGGCTAGAATCAGAATTCATAGCGATACCTAAAAAACAGGGGGCTAAAAAGTGCGAAGAATATCGAACAATCACCCTAATGAGACACATGTTGAAACTGTTTCTTAGAGTCATCCATGGAAGAATTTATAAGAAGTGCGAGGAACAAATATCGGACAGACAGTTCGGCTTCATTAACGCAGTGGGTACCAGAGAGGCACTTTTCGGAGTACAGGTACTGATTCAAAGATGCAGGGACGTTAACTGCGACGTAGACGCATGCTTGATCGACTATGAAAAGGCATTTGATAGAGTTCAACATCAAAAGATGATAAACATTTTAAAAGAGGCAGACCTGGATGACAAAGACCTCAGAATAATTTCAGAACTCTACTGGAATCAGACCGCATACATGAAAATTAACGGAGAAGAAACAGATCACATAAAAATACTACGTGGAGTTAGACAGGGATGTATCCTATCGCCGTTGATATTTAATATGTACTCAGAGAAAATTTTTAACGAGGCTCTTTACGGAATAGACGAAGGCATCCTTCTAAATGGTGAAAGAGTAAACAATGTTAGATATGCCGACGACACCATGGTAATAGCAGATAGTTTTAGAGGGACTTCAGAGGCTAATGGACAGAATAAACGAGTACAGTCAACAGTACGGACTAAACATTAATACCCACAAAACGAAACAAATGATTATCAGCAAGGAGAATATAAACGGGGCTCATCTATACATTAATGGAACGCAGATAGAGCGAGTAAAACAGTATTGTTACCTGGGAACTAATATTAATGAACAGTGGAGCAATTTACAGGAAATAAAGTGCCGCATGGGAAAGGCAAGAACGGTCTTTAACAAAATAAGCGCCATCTTCAAAAGTCACGACATCTCCCTTGATACAAAAATGAGACATTTGAGATGTTATGTTTTCTATGTGTTGTTGTACGGGGCGGAGGCATGGACCCTTACAGACACCACTATTAAAAAACTTGAAGCATTTGAGATGTGGCTTTATAGAAGAATGCTGAGAATATCATGGACAGCAAGGATCACGAACAAGGAAGTTCTAGGAAAAATGAAGAAGGAACCAGAGATTGTGTTTACAATCAAACGCATAAAATTGCAATATTTGGGACACGTTATGAGAAATGAGCACCGTTACTCCCTGCTACAGTTCATATTGCAAGGTAAAGTCAAAGGTAAGCGACGACCCGGTAGAAGGAGAATATCATGGCTGCGGAATTTAAGAACATGGTTTAAGAAAACCTCAACGGAGCTGTTTCGAGCCGCAGCGAGCAAGGTTATGATTGCCAATATGATTTCCAACATCCGAAACGGATAGGAACCAGAAGAAGAAGAAGAAAATAAGTATTACTACTTTAATTAACGCAAACAGGAAAATTAAAATTTTGACTAGGGTTATAACAAAATGTTGTTTAATACTTGTTAGGTTTACATGTTTGAAGCCACTAAATTTGGGGTTCCTAGCCCTTAGACGGGGTGTCTATGAGGATCTGTTGATAGCAACTGATCAAAAACATCTTTGTTTATAAATAAATGTGTTAGAATTTGATTAATTATATTTAACAGTAGAGCAACCATCAATATGTTGGAATTTAAAGGATGACATATTCTCTTATTCATAGCTCGAGTTTATTTAGATTACTTTTCGTTAATTTTATTGTCATCTTAGATTATTTGACTACGTTATTACAACGATTTGTCGCCAATGGATTAAGTCTGAAACCAAAACTCTTCTATACGCACAATCTCTGCAACACGAAGATCAAGTTAACGTATGCATATAATATGTCAACTAATATAAAAATAGAAGTATCGTGACTATACATAATTATGTTCTACTTGATGACGAAATAATGCATCTTTGTCAAATGATGTTATTTATAGATTAATAATAACGAGAGGATTATGAACGCTTAAATCATTTGACTAAAAGTAGAGAAACGAATAAGATTTGTTTTTATAGAAAATCCATATATAAATATGATTTTTATATTAAGACTATCTACAGCAAAATGTATTTGTGAACATCTGCGTTATCATTCAATTTACATAATGTACAATAAAAAGAAATACTATTTTATCTAATTACTTAACAAATATTTACCCTTTTTGATTCATGAACATGGTAATTTATTAAGTTTTTTGAGATGAACGAGAATTATAATATATAATATGTAATTTACATTTTTATTTAATAGACAAGACTTAAAAGACAGTAGCGTCTGACCCGGAGTGGGCGGCTGATACAGAAGTCACCAACACGTCTCGTAAGCGAGGTGTTCTAATGCCAAAAAAAAACTGTTCAGGAAACATGTTGAATTATGAAACAAACGGAATAAAATCCCAGGTAGGTAGAGTTACTAACTCATAATCCCACACCGGGAAACCGGTTTGCTCCAAGGATTCTGGGGGAGGCAAATATTCGACAAAAATAAATGTAGGAACGTATAACATCAGATTCATGAACGATGACACCAAAATTCACGAACTAGAAGAAGAACTGACTTAAATACAGTGGGATATTATCGGCATATCCGAAGTAAGAAGAAAGGGAGAAGTAAATAAAAAAGTAGGTGAATACATACAATCTACCAAGGGCATATCAGACAGAGTAGCATACACGACGCTTAAATTAAAGAGAACGTGATTAAAAATCATACAGGTGTACGCTCCAACAAGTACCTACAGCGATGAAGATGTTGAACATTTCTACGAAGACATAACAACAGCTATGGAAGAAAATAAATCAAAATTACCGCTAATAATCGGGGACTTCAATGCCAGAATAGGAGAACAACTATATAAAGAAGATAAACTAGAATACCATGGATAAGGCAAAAGAAATGATAGAGGACATACATTGATGAATTACTTGGAGGAGAAGTAACTATATGCAATGAATACATTCTTTAACAAAAAACCCCAAAGAAAATGGACATGGATTAGTTCCAATAGTGAAACTAAAAACGAAATTGATTATATTCTTTCAACGCAAAAATCCACGATTAAAAACGTAACCGCCCTAAATCGCTTCTCAACTGGTAGCAACCATAGACTAGTCCGAACCAAGCTGATCATTTATAGTAGATTTTAAACAAGAAAGAAAATGGAAAATAATCAGAAGTTAGACATGGAAAAACTAAAACAAGCAAAACAGACGTACGAAGAGAGAATAAATAAAGGACATATTACCGACCAAGAAAGATATAGAACGCAAACATATCGATGAAATAAACATGATATTTACTAAAACTCTAATGTAAGTGGGTAAAGAAATAGCACAGAGAACAACAAAAAAAGAAAGCTTCATATCACAGGAAACAAAGATTCTTATGAACATTACTAGAACAAGGAGACAGAAGTACAATGGAATACAAAGAAATAAACAAAACTATTAAAAAAATATCAAGAGGTGTAAACAAAGAGTACAGCAAGAAAAGATAGAGAAAAAAATGAAAAAAATAGAAACATGAAG